ATAAACATGAAAATAGATAAAAATATTTGAAAAAATTTTTGCAAATCAAAACGAATAACAAAGCACTGCTAGAAAATACTGCTATTTATAACTATTTTACCGTTCATTTTCTAAAACTTAATGAAAACTTTACTACTTCCTTCCTTTACTTCTTCCTGGCGTTTCAATAAATTTAATACCGTCCGCCGCTATGCTCTCGTCAAGATGTTTGAAACGTAAAAGACATCCCGAGCTCGATGTGCATATACGCAGGATATAAACCAATTGTTTGGTGTAGGTTTTAATGAAAGCGAAATCATATATGCTTTTTTTATAAATGTTTGGTGTAGGTTTTATTAAAACCAAAATCATATGTGTTTTTTTTATAAATGTTTGGTGAAGGTTTTATTGTAACAAAAATCGTATGTGTTTTTCTTATATACTTCTTGACGTAAAGTTCTTGTTATCCACAGTTGATGCACTTGTTTTTAGGATTCACCCTTTTGACATAGTCTTTCTCCTTGCTCAAAGAGTTTTTTTTTTTAAAAGCATTAAATCTGCATTTCATCTCTAATCTCAATGGCAATTAACAAATACACATAATTTGTCAATAAGCCTGACAAAAGTATTGCAACTATGTATTTATATATTTTTGCGTATTTCCACGTTTGCTCACAATAAGAATAAGCTGAAAACCGAGAATAACTTAGAGCTCTCTGGCTCCATATTCTTGTGTGAACGTATACTTGGCGAGATTAAATTGTAATACATTGAAATTGCAAACTTAGAGAATGCCAGACAAATAAAAGAAATATAGTGTATGCAATAGAAAAGCATGTTTATGAACGGATGTTGCAAACATTTAAGATTTCCAATGAAGATAGTTAATACCTTCATTTCATTACGGCTGCATCTGTGTTTTTCTATAACTTCCCGTGTAAGTTTTTGCTGCGCATAATGAACATGTTAAAAGAAAATATATACATTCGCAAAGTTTTCAGTCGAATTATCCGTACACTTCGCCTGAACTTATTTTTGCTTAATGTTACAAGTTCATCATCCAAACATGTATGATGAACTGCCAAAAAGGGCCGCGAACGATAGAAAACTAAAATTATTTCGAAAAGATGTTGCTATATTTTCCTTAAGAGTTGCACAGCTGTATCATATATCACTTTAAAATTTTGTGTAATCATTTCGCAAAGACGTTAAAGAATTCAATGTAAATGTGGAGTATATGATGCACCTACTTACTCAATCACAGAAAAATGTCGATCTTCTTTTCATCTAAGTAAAGAAAATTATCAACTTTAACTTTTTCATTTCAAATTGCCGACCGAGAAATACTATAAATGAATATACATATCGGCCTACAAAACTTATGTTAACAATATACATGTCTCGTAGAGAGAACAATAAATAGAGGTTGGATAACTCAATGAATATAGTCTGGTAAAGCTTCTTACCAAATAAAATATACCGAAAACATAAAAGAAAGAACGTTTAACCAAAGCCGACGCTTATTATAACAGTACAAAATCTATTACAACACTTTAATATTGTAGTAAAAAGTCAAATAATCAAGAAAGTCCAGCGGCGAGCAACTGTCGGGGATGTTTTATTCGACACTTGCGAATGTTAATTTTCATAAATTCTACTCAGGTGTATCGTTTTTAAGGAAATAGATCATCGCCATGGTGGGGCTGCATATTCCGATTCTAAACTGTCTTTGAATTTGTGTACACACAAATCAGACTATTTACGAGAATTAATATTTTTTTTGTACAGCAAATATCGATGAATCTCGGGGGAGATTCTCTTGATATTTGGCGTTGTACTATTACTGAACTGGTATAGCATGACAGCGTAACAGCGTTTGCTTTGCAAAATTCAATGCCAGTTTTGGAAGAATATATGAAACAACTAATCGTGCCACTATATAAATTAGCGCTGCTAATACTATCAGCCCGATATAATTTAGCGGCCATGCTATACTACTATCGACGCCAAGTTCAAAGTCTTTACGTCGAACAGAAATGCCACTCAAATCGGGAACGTTTATTTGCGAACATTCTCTCCGTGGCAGGCAACATAAGGTAATTTCTAAAATTAAGACTGTCCCATGTTAGCCCCGTATTCTAGATCTATCTTTCTGCTTCTACTTCTGTACTCTGATATTTTATTCTTTTAATATGATACAACGCTCTTTCGCCTACATACAATGATTCTTTGCGAACTTCCTTCCTTTCTTTACTTTCGAAAATCTCAGAAAATCATAAAAGAAGAATATAGTTAGAAAGTGTAGCAATGACGGCAGAATTTTATATACCAACATACATAGACATTAAAAAGAAAAATCCGTTACAGCGTTTATATTCAAAATCTAGTTTATTTATGCTTTATTTGACATGAAAAATATATCTAAGTACAATAGGAAATAGATTAGCTAATAATTAAATAAATATAAAACTTGCAAAATATAGAATAGAAATAACAATATTTTAAGCATTTAATGTGCATGTGTGCATACATGAGTAGAGCCATTCCAGCCATATACACAAGGACTGCTCCATTATGACGAACGATTTTATTGTTTATAGTATCAATAAACTTAATATAAACATAAAACAAAAAGCAATTCAGTTTTCAATTTTAATGTATAGTATGTTCGTAAATTCTACCTAATGTAAATATGCACCAAGGCTGCAATAATGTAAAGCAGCTACGGGATTCTGATCTTAGAAATAAATAAATTTAGGAATGAGTTGCAAGTTTTAACAATATGTTTTTAATATGTTTTCGAAATGCTTTCATTTTTTTTTTTTTGGCTTGTCGGCAAGCCAAGCGTTGTCAAACGGGATGTATGAAATTTAAGCTATATGTTGTTCCTTGTTTCTTCTGTTGCTGTAATCATTTGCTCAGATCCCTCACTATAGGATATTTCATTTGTAAGGCATGTTCATAAGATGGTACACAAAACAAACAGCAAGTAAAAATAACAGGATGGCTTATGGTTAGTTGAAAGTTGCATATGAACGCTTTTTAGTGCCTTTTAATTATTATTTAAACCACTATAATTTATAAATTAGTCTATTTCTAGTGGAATTTATTTTAATATGTCCATTTTGTGGAACCGGATATCTATAACAGGTTTGGCTCAATTTTGTGCAGGAATGACTCTTACGGGTATGCTTGTTATTTATAGGATTGTACATTTTATTTAATGAGAGCGCTTTAGCCTTCTGCTGGTTAAATGATCATCTGGGATATGGTCTTCCTTGTTTTTACAATTTCCGAGTATTCTTTAATAAGAGTTGCAATTTGAAAAGCCTAGAAATGAAAAAATTACGAAAAGTTATCATATTATTTCGATTCATGTAAAAGATTGTATATAAATGCGGCTAAATTGTAAAAGACGTTTCATCCTCGCATGGTAGAAGTTGCTGTTGCTACGCGCATATTTGTGGCCGGAGCGATAGACGAATAGGTTGAGATTCGAATCATGACAATTGATCTGATTATCCTAACCTAGTGATGGATTATATGATCTCTGACCTATATTTCTGACTGTTGCATATAGAGGAAAACAATCTATGGGAGTGAGCCAGATGGTGTCCAAAATTAAATTATACATTATCCAAAAAGTCTACAACGCAAACGGAAGTTCCCATTTTTGCAGCTTAAAGTTAGTCGTTTCCTTTTTGACATGCAGCCTTGATGTTATTTAAGCAATCATTGAATCTTGGAATACTGCCAAAAAATTATGTTGTTATGTTTATCGTATAAAGACATAAATGGTCGCCGTAATCATACAAGTTTATTTTAATTGAGCCAACCGAGTAAATAAACTTCACCCTACGTATAGCCTTAAAATTTCGTTTCGTTGCGGAGCTGCAACTGAAACTCTATACTAATCTATCAATGGTTTCTTCTAACAAATTTTTATAGTTTTAATGATCAAATATCAATCTGGGAAATTTTTGCACCGTAACTCAATCAATTGAGCCAACCGAGTAAATAAACTTCACCCGAGGTATAGCGTTAAAATTTCGTTTCGTTGCGGAGCTGCAACTGAAACTCTATACTAATCTATCAATGGTTTCTTCCAGCAAATTTTTATAGATTTGATGATAAAATATTAATCTGGGAAATTTTTGCACCGTAACTCAATCTAGAAACGTTGGCTCTGAGCGTCATAAACTTTCAAGAATTTTTTTCTTTCGATTATGCACAATTTCAATGATAAAATTCCAATCTGGGAAATTTCACGCTAATTTTGTTACGGATTTTTACGAAATTGCAATAATTACTTTTAATTGCGCTTCATAAAATTTCTTAAATGAGACTAATAGGATCGGCGAGCTTGGTTTATCTTACTGCCTAACTACATGAGCAGAAACAACACCAAATTAAACCACAAGAAATGTCCAAGTTTATTCTATAGGCTATCCTGCAGCATCTGTGCCAAAACAGAGAAAATCGACCAAGATTATCTAATATTATAAAGTACTGAAATTATGCTTTCTTTCTTTTTTTTTTTTTTTTAGAATATAGACTATGGGTATAGCGATATCAGACACAGTGGAATAACATTTTTTCTCATTTATTTTGTTATCAACTGTTTGAGTTAACAGATAATTTTCGAGTAAATATTTATCACAAAATTTGTACAGCTAACTTGTGTATTACGTACCTGTGACGTACTTAAAATAACTTTTGATTGCTTCTTCTCAGTTCCCGTAAATATCATCAATGAATTCATATTTGGTGAATATGAAATGATTGACTCATAGTCATGTGTACAAAGAACATTTCGTGAGCGATGTTCCAATAAATGTATGCCATTTTGATCTACGGCAAGCCATAATATACGGGGCCAATTCGATGTAAACGATTGCTGCAATAAAAATTTTTGTATGGTTATACATTTATGGTATTGATAGATATTTATTCAGAGCCATCAAAGAAGTTTTTTAATATATTATAAAGTAAAAGAGAACAACAGGAATTTTATTTATCTTAAACACTTGTTCATGCCGTTTTTATTTAGAAATGATCTCCTGTAAATAACCGCCTTTAGACTTCTATAAAAATTCAATACTGAAACAAACATTTCTGTTACTATTAGACATAAATCTGCTCTTCTTGCACCAAAGACACGACGAATAATTTTGATGAATAAGGTAAGTTCGTAGTTTCATGATTTGTTCGTGATTGGTTGGAGTAAAACGATGCTCCGTGGGACGCGAAGTCCATTTCAGTTATATCGCTTGAATTTTGCGGCATACCTCATGTAGACATATTTGGAGAATATACACTTATTGAACAACAAATTAATTTTTTCATGAAATTTACAACAAGTCGCGCCAATTTTTTGAAACTCACATATCGTCCAAGCCGAAATCGTCTAATTTTTCGGTATCGCCAAGCATCGAAATTTTAGAAAGAAGGAAATTTTGATAAAGGCGACAAATTCAAAAGAAGATGATAGACAAAAACGTCTTTCATCTATACAATGAAAGGATCCTGCAGCACCAACACAGTCAGCATGACATCATACTTTTAGTATATCTGGCGAATTGCCATCGACTAACGCCAATTATACACATGAAGACCGCGTTTCGTAAAAGTTTCTCTTTCCTTTGGCGCCGGCAACGTAATATGCGGAAGCAATATTTTCTAGACAAGTTCCGCCGGGAACGTTCTGCATAAGTTTAAAGATAATTTACCTAAATATGATGATATTACCGCATAAGCCCATGAAGAAAAGCTTTCTTCAATATAAACTTTAGTTCCTGATTAGCTTTTGTGATTGTTTCTAAAACCTGTAGTGCTGCACTTTTGAAATAATGGGCCTACAAATTTTAATTAACGTCCACGACAAATTAATTAAAGGTTTTTTAATAGATTGTCTAATAAGGAAATATCATATCAGGTTTATAACATGCGAAGGCCACATTTATGAATTTTTTATTGAGAAGTTTTAAAATATCTGCGCAGAGGACCATAGCTTTGGTGTGGCAAATAACGCGTACAGTATATATAGTTTCTTTTATTGTCCGAAAAATTGGCTAAAGAATGCATAGTTCACTTACCATAACATCAAATATTGTAGCTCGGTGCAGCGGCCAACTTTGTATTAAATTTAAAAACGACTTTTTGGCTTCCGCTGGCAGCATACCGCGAAGACTTTGATGGTGCATTGCGACAGCTTCGTGGGGTATGTTTGGAACAAAACGAGGTGGTAGACAGTGGCTTGCAATAACTCTATAATCACGTATTACTTCACCGCAATCAGCAGTCTCCAATTGTCCTTGCAAAGCAGTCAGCATAATAGCCTCTATCTCACTAATCGGAAACCTTTCACTTCTTAAACTATGCAATACTTGATGATATAAAAGTTCCTTTTCAACTGGATCATCTAAATTTATGTAGTCATCGAAAAACAAATGCTTCTTAAAAAGAAACATGTAGTGGGAGTGCCGGCAAGTGTTCGCAGATAGACTGGGCTGAAATGTATGAAATGGATAATTTGAATAGCGAATTTTATGAAAAAAGGAATAATTCCTTAAATAGTTGAAATTTGGTTCGCTTCGTTTCAGAATTCTTACAAACTCTCCTTGAATAAGTGTATCAAAAGGAGAAACTGGGAGTCCGTGTGTCTGTTGGATTCCCTTAACGGAAGGATTAAATTTTAATTTCAAATTGTGTTTGAAAAGGCGTTTTGTAAATCTGAAGTAAAAATAAACTCGATTTGAATGAGTCCGCTTAGATTTTGTATATTTTGATATGTGGACGGTTTTATAGAAAAGTTGTTATTTTTTGAGTTTGATGACTATTCAAATCAAATGAAATCGACATAATTAAAAATGGCACATACCAACAATAGTAATATGAGTAGACCGAAAATTTTTTTTAAGACGGTTGGAGTGTAAAATAGCGAAATGCAATTAAATTCCAAACTAGTAAACTTTCTAATAGATAGTGGGCGCGCATTTACAAGTGTGTGTAATCTTCAAGTTTAAAATAATAATTTTGTTAAATTTGAGATAGTATGGATAAAAAATCAATCGACAGGTTCGATTTCCTATAATTGGTATATAGCTGATTTAGTCGTCAATTCTAGACAATGAGCATTCCTTTTTGTGCCTTGGATGCAGGGAGAAAGTCGATTAAGCCTGTTATAAGATAAAGTCAGTATGTTAAGCGTACTACTAGACTGAAAAGGTGCACATATCGTTGTAAGAATAAAGTTGCAAACTTTGGCCTAAATAGATTTATTGTGCAGATAAGTTTGACTAAAAGTAAAGATGAGGCGGAAGTCACGATGTGGTGGATATATTTTTTATCAAAAATTCCGCCTATTTTTATTTCATATAAAACGGCTTGGGAAGCAGAACGCGAAAAGCTACGTGCGTTAACTGTAAACCAACCATGATGGACATCGTGACGATTTTTTTTAACAATGTCTTTTAGTGAAGCAAGAGGTGAAAGATAAATATTTTATCTCATTCACTTTTTTATGACGATAAATAAAAGCATGTGGCGCCAAAGGTTTTAATGGTGGTGGATATTGGAGATTCAAGCGGAGGCGAACGTAACTTCTTTACTTATTTTATTTTGATATTAAAAAGCAATTGAATCGCAGTCACTTACCGTTGCAAGTAATCCTTGTTGACTAGCATTTCGATATTTTTCCCACTTCGCCATTACGTCCGCCAGCTTTTCTTCAAACAAAAGGCTCCTTTCGGTGTTTCCCAGTACTTCGTAAATAGCGTAACCCATTGAATTCTGCTGCAACCCAATTTTTCTTTTTATAATTTCCATTACTTCCAACGCAGTCGAGCTCGGATGAAATTCAATAGAATAAAATTGACCATCCATAAAATAAAATCTAGCGTAGCAAGGCCTTCTGTTTACAGTGCACAAAATTTCTTCACGACTTGGCGGCCATTGTCGTCTGCGTGTTCCTTGAGTTTTAAAGAAACACTAAAAACGAATGTATACATAAAATACCGGAATCTGTCAATTTTTCTGTTTTTACTCAGAATAAATTTCTAACACCTAAGTAAAAATTGTGTATACAAGCCACAACATTTTTAAGACTAAAATAACGGAAATGAGAAACTGTAAACCCACTCAAATTATCGCGCTGGAAGGAAGAACAGCTTCTTGCCCAACGAATTTTTATGGATCACGCCGTTTTGCCAGTTATAATAATAATAATGTAATGTAATGTAATGTAATAAAATCTAGCGTAGCAAGGCCTTCTGTTTACAGTGCACAAAATTTCTTCACGACTTGGCGGCCATTGTCGTCTGCGTGTTCCTTGAGTTTTAAAGAAACACTAAAAACGAATGTATGCATAAAATACCGGAATCTGTCAATTTTTCTGTTTTTACTCAGAATAAATTTCTAACACCTGAGTAAAAATTGTGTATACAAGCCACAACATTTTTAAGACTAAAATAACGGAAATGAGAAACTGTAAACCCACTTAAATTATCGCGCTGGAAGGAAGAACAGCTTCTTGCCCAACGAATTTTTATGGATCACGCAGTTTTGCCAGTTATTTTGTTGCTGTCTGCAATTGGTTTCTATTTTTTTCCACAGTTTCTCTACACACATGCAAAGAAAGATGCTTACTCTGCATTCTATTCACTGGTGAAATCTTTCTTAACTCATTTCCGCTGGCAAAAAAAGTTAAATAATCTCGATGAAGAATTTGTGAAAATGGTTAATTAAAGATAATTGAATAAATCATCATGTCTTGTTTAGTTGTGATTGCCTACTCTTCCCAAAGTCGTAAACCTCTTTAGAGTCTATATGTATTTTTCGTGCGACTGTTATTTTAGAACTAACTAATCACCAATTGCTCCTTGCATTATTTCGCTACTTTGCTATATCTTTTTTGCTCTTAGTACTCTTTTCATCGAGTTTTTAAGTTTTCTCAATGCACGCTTCGAGTATATTTTGTGGATTGCAAAAGAGATTACTTATTTTATTGCACTTTGCCGCATTTGCTATTCTATGTAGAAATTATGAGGACAAGGGTTTAACATCACATTGTTTCTTACACGTTCACCTTTCCATTCCCACGTTAAAACAGTGCTTCCAATGTGCTCGATTCTACCACATTGCCAAATTTTGTGTGGCAAAAAGAACACTTTGTTTAAAATGCGGTAACACCCTGGCTTGCACTAATGATTGTAGCGAAACTCGCCGCCTGCTTTGTGACTGTACTCGACATAATACGCTAACTAAATCTTGTCCAGCTAGAAAAAAGTGAGAACAAATAAATGAAATCAGAACAATTCAATACGTCTCCTATAACGAACGTAAGCAAAAATACTCCCAAAACTATTTCGACGCACTTGGCTCTAGTGATTATGATGATAACTTCCCCCTCTTCCTCCGGAGTGCTCCAACGATGATATCAAAATTATCAATCAAGAAATAAATAAAATCCTTATAAAAAAGAGATATAATAAATAAGGTAGAAACAACTAAATCAAACATTTTACAACTTCACCTTGTCGATAGTTCAGAAACGCCTAACCGCCTCCTACCCCAGACAAAAGACTTTATTGAAACCCATAAATCGTCAGAAATAGGGAAATTTCTATCCGAAACTTTATATGCTTTCAAATCCACATCTGTTTCTCAACACACTGAGTCGAATCATTCTGCTAACTCATATGAGGCCATTCTGGATGGACTGAACACTACTAAAAATGATTCCCTTCAACGAACACGATCTCCTTCTTACAATGCAACCTAAAGAGTTTTATGCCAAACTTCGCATCCCTTGATTTCTACCTCAACTCGAATCAAACCGACTTCTGCATTCTTAGCGAAATCTTTGGATCTGATAAGTCCTTCTTAAATTTAAAACTCTCCAACTATAGTGTGACGTCCAAATATAGAAATGATGATTTTGGTCATGTCGATATTCTTATTAGAAAAGGTATTAACTTTGGACATCTTATTTCATTTTTTGATGTGGTGATCATAAGAACCTTGACATTAAGCCTAACGTTGTAATTGTGTCTGTATACTTCCATTCTAAAACGAACATTCAAATTTGTCGAGCTGATATAGCTTGTGTACTCGACCTTCTAGACAGCTTAAAAAATCTCATACTTGCAGGTGAGTTCTATGCCAAACACAGCATTTTCGGAGACACAACCGCTACATATAAAAGCAAAGCACTAGTAAATCTAATTAATGCAAGTAGCTTTCGCTGCTTAAATACCCCATCTCCACGTTCATTACCTCTTCAATTACTTGCGTAGCAGAAAAAATATTATAACTAACTCTACTTATTTTGCCTTCAAATAGAAAGTTGAAAGGGCTTTTCTTGGCAGAAGCCACCATTTGCCCATCAATTTCGATATATGCGATGGTCATATCCGCAAAATCAATCACTTTGTCTCTCGTAAAAGGCTGATTTAGAACTAATCCACAATAGTCTTTGCTGACAACATAGCGGATAACATTCTTTTAACCGGACTTACTGCTGCTACAACAAATGTTTATAACCTCAATTCGTTTGCCGCCAAACCATTATGGAACAATTCTCTTACAGCCATGTATCAATAATCGAACGACCTCAAAAAAAAAGTCAATGAATATGTCTTTCCTGCTAACTTCTCTGAATATAACAGGATGCAAAAGGAGTGGTATACTGCCGTAAAAAAGATAAAAGACCACATCGTGGACGCACTATAAACGATCTATGTGCTTGTGGAAATTCTAGACGCTCGTAGAACTACGTTAATGGTCATCGGATTACCAAACGTGCAGCCTTAAACTTTTCCATTTGGAGTGACAATGAATGACTGAAATACTTAATACGCCTTAAAAGCTATATATCGGTTGGTCTATCTTATATCCTCGCTACGCCCCCCATATATCAAAAAATAGCCCTTTTTTTTCGTTTAATAATTTCAAACAAGTTCTAGGACAAAGCCCTTTGCAGCTGGGAGCGACAGAATTATATATAATACGGCTCTTACAAAAGAAAGTCGCCTTGCTTTGCTTAAAGCCATCCAACAATGTTAGCTTTCACATCACTAATTTCATATTTTACTAAAGATTGCAAATTTGCTGATTAAAGAAAGGCTTAACTCCCTCATTAAGGACATTATTCCCCATCCTTCCTTTGCTTACCAAAAACATAACTCGACAAATATGTGCGTTAACGAGTTTTCCTTGCTAATAAAATTTTCGAAAGAGTTGGCAAAAAAGTAATCCTGTTGTCCCTAGACTTTAGCAAAGCTTATGACTGCGTCGAACTTAAAACACTGGCAAATCGCCCTCCACACACGTCTGCGGGTCCTCAACTCTTAACCAAATTTTCCTTGTATTTGGGTACTGGACCGATTGACACATGCAAATGCCTGCCGCAAGGCAGTTCCCTAAACCCTATACTATTTAATCTCTACATGACCAATTTGCGCCAGCTGCAAGACTCAAACATCCACGTATGCCAACATGCCGATGATTTTCTGCTAGTCTCCATCGGCAAATCTTTCAACAAGGCTGTATCAAAGAGCAAATCAATTTTATGAGAAATTTTGTAAAAATCATTTTGCATTTACCCGAGCAGAACGAAGACAATCTATTTTGCAAAAAGAACCAATAAAATTATAGACCTACTGATCGATGGCATCAGTGTTTAACCTTCCGCACTCTTTATGGAAGTGCTGTCAAAAACTGTTAATCTGATTTCAACCTAATTAAATTATTAACCAAAAAACATGCAAATCTCCCCCAAGCCTACCTCTTACTATTTGCAAATCTTTGATCCGGTCAAAAATTGGCTTTGCGCCTTCCACTACCTGCATATATCCAGACATATCCAAACATTTGAAGCAAGATGGCACAGGTCTCACTCCGTCCACCCCTATGTCCGTACTGAGTATGATCTCTGGTGAGCTTCCTGCCTCTGGAAGAGCTTTGCTACGCACTGCCACGGAACTAATCAAAGCTATGGGGATTAGACACTTTCTCTTCAAGAAAATTGCCGCTTTACTTGACGTAATCCCTTGCACTTACACTCCCTGCTATCGTAAATTTGGACATATTCTTAAAAAATTAAACCTTTTTTCAAATCGCATCATAGAAAACAACAACTTTCTTTTAGACCTAGATATTCTAGCACCGCTTGTATAAGCCGAAAGCGAAAATCCTACATCAGCTCCAAATGCCATATGCTGTGAAACGGGATAGTAGCATTGTTTTAGAAATGTATAAAATAGAGCCAAAACTATTATGTAAGACATTAGAAATGGCTTTTCCGGAACTTCTATCAAGAGCGTAGTCCTAGTTTTTCTTTGTAATTTTGTTTTCCAACCGGTTTTCCTTTCAAACATTGTTATTTTTTTAGTCGCTATTATTACATTATTATTATGTTATATTAGAATATTATTATTATTAATATTAACTAAAACATATATCCAATATTTTCTTTTTGCAGGAAGAGCAAGGAATCTTATTGAATATCGCGTATTGTAAATGCTATAATAAAAAAGGCTTCAAAAATATATTTACCTTTTCAGCAAAACGCGCGAATTTGCCTTCTTCAGTTATATAGTCACTGGCACAACGTTTTAAGTGGCCAATCAAGTATTTGCGAATAGACTTAACTGGAGGCAAAACGACGCTACAAGCAAGTGATAGTAAAGCCCAATGTCGCAAATTAACCCTAGAATTTGGGTCTGGGTGATCGGTCGTTTGCTTAATCAATTGCAAATAAAGCTCATTGATCAGTGACTCTTTTCTCATACATTTATCCATTATTGATTGAACAATAGTCACATGTTCATCTTCGGCCCTTTGAATGGTATCACCTAAAATGCTGTCATCATTATAATAGAGGTCTAATTATATTTACTTCAATTTGCGTGCTTACCAGATATTCCCAAACCTGAATACGTTAAGATAGCTTGAAATACTTGGAGCATTATTGATTCGTCTTGATCAGTTATTCTGCTTAAACTTTGAGAAATTTGTTGTCTGCTGAATGCCCAAAAGGAATGATGAAATCCTTTGTAAGTTTCTCCGTGTTCTTGAACATTGCTTCCTTCCTCAGCTCTTAATTTTTCTAAACGATGTTTCGACAATTTTCGCAAAGTATTTCTAAAGAATCCGCCACTCGTTTCCTGAGGTCTACGAAGAATTTCCAAATCGACAAGTTGCCTTCGACACAAAACGACGTTTTGATAAAGACGTGTACGATCCTCGTTTGTTATGCCTTTGGTTTTTCTCGATATTTCAAAATTATTCATGATCCAATTAGACAAAGATGGATAATAGGAAATGATTAAAGAACCAATTTCGTTCTTTTGCGAAGTTTCTAAAACAAAACATCTTTGTGCTTCTATAGTTACATTAACAACTTTTTCACTTTGTTTTGATATTTGTCGGTCATGGATTTGGCGGTTTAGTGTTATTGTGATGAAACTATCGCTTGGGTCTAACATTATTGATTCAATATCTGAATACTTGAACTGGTAAAGAATATACTTGTCTTCTGGCTGAATAAACATTATCCCTTCGTAATTGATGCCGAAGATAATGTTGTTTACATGATTCCAGTAGCCTTTGTAAATGACGTTGAACATTGTCGTTCCATACAGAGGGTATTGCATGACGCAACTTAAATATAATACTTTGGCAGTAAGTTCGTTTCTTGAAGCACCATATTGACGATGAGCTTGAGCTAAAATTGGAATCCAAAATTGCTGCTCTCTCGTCTTAGAAATTCGCTCTGGCAGAAAGTTGTTTATATCGTTATAATATTCTAGCTTTGGTTGATTAGAGGGATCACCTAACGCCACTTGCGCTTGAAGACCTGCAAGCTGCAAAGCTACCTTTTCGCTCACAGGAAATTCATCGCACTAAAATAAGAGAATATGAGGACTGCTTAATTTGTGGAGAAATATAAACATATGAAAACATTTTTAGCAATATATATTAATTGGTGACATTACAGCTGATGAAATGAAACGTAATGATTTATTTATTTGTTTAAAGAATCCCAACCACTAAATACGGCCATCTCAGTTAAGATACACTCATAACGTGACATATAAACCGCATAAATATAAATTAACACATGCAAAAACAAAATAGTGGGCCAGGCTCCACTATTAAATAGCCTACATTACTGCGCGTTTATTCATATATCGACTTCTTAAAAAAAAACCTTATATGGTCGAAAAGCGACTAAAAAAAAAGAAACGTGCAATTTCGATAATCCATAATATTGTCTAGGCTTACCTAACCTATACCAAACTTCGCGTAATATCTTCAAATGTTTTTGCTAAATTTGAACCCGATACTTCCATTTTTGGGAACGAGAGCACACTACAGATATCGCACAGAAAGACAAGCAGACAAATGGACGGTCAGACGTATCTAAGATGCTTCGAATTTCTTGCTGATCAAGCATACGTATTCTCCGCGAGGGTTCTAAGGATTTCTTTGTGTGTTCTCTCACTGTGTGGTGATGCGTACGATAGTGTGAAATTTAAGAAAAGTAGCTAATACAAACGAGAAACAGCATTTGTACACGCTGATGTAATCGTAATCGTGTGGGTAGAAGCGCTTTGATTGGTCGATTTCGATATCCCAATTAATCTATAAATAGATAAGCAGAACTATTTTTCCGTAGAGGTCATTCAAAAATTATTTTAAATTTTAATTATTAACTACTGCTACGCTCGCACCAGAAGCGATTATCAACTTGGTTAGGCTCACCACTTATCGTGAAGAGTAAAACTGGTATTCGTATCCTACTCCGTTAAATAGCCTCAATTATAGCGTATCTTAGCGACTAATATTTCCTACAAGTTTAATTGACAAATCACTACAAATAATTGCCCAGATATACTACGCCATTATTTCTTTGTATCCGGTTTCTACACGTAAAAGTAACACCATCGGTAAATTGCAGAAGTTTTTCTTACTGACATGCACGACTCAGTGGTTAAGTTATGCGTAGCTTCAATTTTAGCATGGCGAAAACACTTTCTTACATCTTTGCGCTCTGGTTTTCGACTTTATAGCAGATTACATCCTACATCAACTGTAAATGTGAAGATAGAGGCAAGTGAAGATAGGGAATGGCAAGTAAGTGCAACTTGAGAATAATATTTGTTAGTCGCAGCTGACGAACGCTACTTATTCTGGCTTGCATTCACCTGCTATATTTGAAATGCTTGATGTACATATTCTTTCTTATACCAGATGGTTTTCGGTGTGGATGAATGATCTTCAGCCACAGGATGGTACATTTCTTTATAAATTCTATGTTTTGCGTTTGAAAGATATACAAAAATATAATAGCCTGTTCGACAAGTTAAGAACTAAAGGTTCTATAATATGATGGAAAATATTCAAAAATTGTCCGAAAGAACATACTTCTTAAATAAGAATAAAGAACGCAACAGATTTTATATAAAAAGTGGACGAAAATTAGCTAGTAGAGAAATTCAATACAAAAGCTCTACCGTTTCTTTCTTTTAAAAAAAAATTTTACAAATTCGGGGTTTGAAATAGTTTAAATTCGTCTACTGTTTACCTTAACAACACTGTAAACAGCTTGAGCGTACAGCAAGTTCACTTCTACGGGATCCTGAGACAACTCTCGGGTTGATTTGAAGAGGCGCTTTTTGAATACAAATCTGTTTTCCCCTGATCCAGAACAGTTAGCCACTTTTCTGTTTGCATTTGAAATTGTTTGGGATTTGACCTGTTTAAGCTCCCATGCAGCTATTATGTCATATAAATAATCAAACGATTTAATATGCTCTTCGCCGTCAGGTCTCGATTGAAAAATTGCCCATCCTTCCGTATTAGTAAGATTTAGTTTTTCCGCTAGTTTCACAACCGCATCTGCAGCTGTATCAGTAGGATGTACGTCAATGGCTTTTGTACGGCCGTCTAGAAAAAAGAAGCGGCATACGATGGTACCCAACCGACGCATTGCCTAGAAATATGAAAATACTGGAATATGCTTTCTTTTGAAGATTTATAAGTTCATATAATTTCTGTAAATTGTAATATATATGAAGTGGAAATTGGATACCAGGGATTACTTTTAAGTGACTAAAAATGTAAAATTTAATATTTGTCATATAAAAGCAATTTTAAAAAGTGACTGAACATAATGAATGCACGAGAAGCGCATATCACGTAGATGCATATTAACTGCTGGAGCATAAGTGTAACGCCTATTTAATGGGATAATTTGATACATACACTTTGTTTATAATTGAGGTAAGAGTATATTACAGCTTAATTTAAGCACAAAGGCTTAGAATCATAATTATAAACAACTGTACACAGTTACCGATCTGCAGATGTGCATGCTTTGCATTGTTCACATATACAGCTTACACAGCCTGAATTTGATGTACGCTTTTACGTCTTGGCGCATTACTGCTTGTTGAACAAAGTACCCAATTTTACGAAAACGGGTGTCTCTTTCTTATAGGCTGCTGAAAATATGCTGTTGGACAGTAGTTGAGCAACTCTATCGTATTTCTTACTACTGTTCTGTTGTTAATTTTGATCAAACCGTTCCCGTTACCCTTTCATAATTAAAAATTAATGTTAAGACTAATACCCTTGCCGAACTCGGAAATAAAAAAAACCAAAAACTGGAGTATTCAGTACATCTCACAAAACTTTTATTAGTTAGACTAAGAAATAGTTCAACTTTCCAACAACTCTTTTGACCGACATATTGTAGAAGTGTTAGATAAAAAAATATGACAAGACACGTATATGTATATATAAAATATACTTACGGCAATTTCGACACTAGAGGGCGGGAACAACCTGGATGACACCTTTGTGCATTTACAATTATCAAAACACCACTGCGCGTATTGCCTAAGTTTGCCGTCCAACGTTTCTAAACTCTTCTTCAGATAAGATACATAATATCTGAAAATAAAAATTCGTATTCAGATCGTTCACACTTCGACAATAAATTATTATGTTATAAGAAAGCGTTTCGCTTGTAAGTCAAGCTATTTAAGTTTTACCAAATCAATTATCCAGAGCAAATTGATGCCAATGCGAAGATTTATTTGTAAGTAATATAAGAAGGTCTTATTGGCAGTTTTACATTATTAAAGTCTATTTTACTCGTGTCTACTTATGTAACATGAAAACATTTACTTAATTGATATGCTGATTATAATGATCGCACCTTCTTAATGTTTTAAACCCATATCGTTTACAAGTTATGCATTATTTAATCCTACTGCTGAACTTTTACATTCCAGTTTATTGTTATGAAATTTCCAAACGTACTTACTGCAAGATTATTTAAGGAAAAAAAAAAACTTAAAAACTAAGAGTAGGAACGCTAGAAATTCACATTCACCATATTAGCTGCTGTAAATTAAATAAGTAAATACAGCTCCATTTTGGCGTTTTAATGTCAATGATTTGCCCTTTGATTAAAATAAAAGAGAAGACAAAATGTCTGGCGAATAAGCTAACGAGTGAAGTGTATTGGGCTATATCAATCATACGAGATAAAGAATATTCTAATTTACCCTCTACAGTAACAAACCAAGCCAATAAGTCCCAACTGCGAAATATTGAAAAAACTACGTTGAAAAATATAAACTGGTGTGCACATATTGCATTTCGGCAGTACATCGAACCTTGAACAGTACATTAATGTAGCCGTAAACCCTTCGTAATACGTAATACGTATAATTTTAAATATCAAGCAGAGTAGGTAATTCGAAAAACTAACGACTTGACATTGGTGCTTTGATTGAAAACTGATTTTCATATATTAGAAGCGACGTATAGAATCAGACGCATCTTTGATAAATTCAGTCCATGGTGAGGATGTAAGTAATACTTCATTTTTTACTTTACATTAATACTTGCCTAAACAAGAGTTTACTAGGCTGGAAAGCAACTATAACTAAACACATCAATAACCACAGCTTGTCGTTCCATTCCGAATTAGGGTTATTGGTTGTTTGACGGATGCATTGGATAAAAATTTCATCACGCAGTTCCTCTCTTTCAATTCCAAGTCCTATTATGTATTGCATGGCTTGCAATTCTCGTTCTGCGCCCAATTCTCCTCGCATGTATTTGCACAATTCCTATAAATAAAATAATTTCAATTGAAAAACAATATTCTAACTGTTATAGTAAGAAAGTAATTGTACTATTGGGATTGAGATAATTATAACATCTTATAAACTAATAAAAGAATATATAAATTTTGCCGAAAATTTACACTTTATTTAATCTAAAATAAAACTTGTCATATGTTAAAGAGTTCACGTCGTTGCCAAGTATTAAGCCCATTTAAAAGCAAGAAAGTTAAACGTGCTCCAAAACATATTGTTGCAAATTACTGTTTATGTTGAACACATAGTTAAAGGGTAAATAAATCTTTCTTGGTGGAGAACACCACTTCTTTGGATAATACCCACATCATAATAAGCACGTAGATGAATTAGCTAATACAATTAGTAGTAGTCGTAGTTAATATCAGCAGCAAAAAAGACAAATAAGAACATTACAGTTGGGCAAGGCCGATTTTTAGACACCCTATACTACGTTTCCTAGCACAAAGCTTCTTTTTTTTAAAAAAGTCTAAGTCTACTTCGATAGTATTTCAGTTCGGGATGGGAGAAAAATCGAAGTCTACTGACACTCCCTCTTTACAAATATTGAACGTGCGAATAGGATAGAGTGACCATTCAATAATAGCTCCATTTTCATTTACATAACTCAAAAAGGAGAGCCGTAATTAAAATCTCTCTCTATTCATTTTGGGAAAAGCTATCTTTGGACATATTAAAATTGAAGAAATTTACAATTACTCCATATGCATCGTTATTACTATAAAAAAACCATAGTAAAAGTATGATCTGTAAAAATCGTCCCATAGCAAGGAACATAATAATAAAAACTCTTTCTATTGTAATCTTTAGTTAGTTTACACCAGTTGTGGCGATAGCGACTGAAAGCTACTGCATTGTTCCCCAAAAATCCAACGTTATGTTAGCCGCGAGTAATCCGTTTTTACTTTGCAGATATGTATGTTCTCCAACAATCTAACGTCATATTAGCCGCGAGTACTGCGCTTTTACTGTGCAGGTGTGTCACTACAATTGTTCGGTTGCTTGGTTTCTAATTTCTGAAACGTTGCGAATTCCAATAACAAGCGCGTATAAAGACAAGCAATAACAATTAATTGGTAATACTTAATAATCGATTAAAGCAAACCTATAATATAAATTAAGAATTTTAATTTTTACTTTTGCTGAAGATGAGTTGTGTCATTCGAATTTTTATTCTTAAAGCATTTACTTACCCTAAATATATGACAAGAAAGAATCACATTTTCGGGATCATACATGTGTATATGGGATGATGGGATTTTGTCTCCTCTCAAGAATGTAACCATTTCATATTTAGGTACTAGATCGTTAGGCTTTTTATTTTTCCGAGTTAACGTTGCAATGAGAGTACCATCAGATGATTTCTCGTGAGTATTAAAATAATTTTCAGCAAATTCCATAACATCATAATACACATCACTGCTGTATATGTCTTTTGGTAGTTCAGCTGTTTTCTGATGCATTTCTAATATTTTTTTTTCACTCTATATTTTCGTCGCTGCTCGCGATCACAATGTCCCTCTTGAAGATTTGTAGTTTTCGACGGATTATTGGTTTCAGTAAGAAAACCCGATCGTACATCACCGTATGAAATTTTAGGGCTTACAATGTGTGAACTGGAGTGTTGTAAAATTGGTGATTTATCAGTTGTGGCATTCGATTCTTCTTTATAATTGTCAATTGTATTTGAATTTGCGACGTCATTATTAATAACGACAACTTCGTATATAGGCTCGACTTTAGCTTCGTTGAGAATAGAGTCCGTAACAATTTTTGGTTCAACTTGGTCTCCAAGGTTTATATTGTTGGAGGGAGGAGGTGGTGGTGGCATGGTTGGCTCGGGTAGTGTCGAAACTCCTTTAATTACTAACAACTTTGAGCTGCCCGATTCCAAAGTACTGCAATTTTCCAACTGCAAAGAAAAAATATTACATGTTCAAACAGTTCAGAAAGAGAACTTTAAACCAACTTTACAAAAAACAAGGTACGCAAATGAATAGATCATTTAGTATAGATATGATTAACAGTGCATCCGATTTGTTAGAATATATAGCCTTATATTAAGTATATATTGACAATGGTGGCCGCTTATGGTTTTACTGAATGAAACATGGAAAAGGACTGAAATTTCGGTAAAGTGTAAATATAAGGATCTTACCAGCGGTGAACTATGGTTTCGGTTTGAAACATTTCTAAGCCTACAATTGCTCACGTTACATGAATTTATTGCTAAATTATTTATGCGAATTATAATTTCAGTAGCGAGCAAACGTTTCATTTGAGAGAGACCTATCGCAGAGTAGTCGCAGTTTCTTCGGGGTGGTCCTCAATATTTAAGTTAATACTTTTTCAAGTTAATGATGTCACTGGACCTGTTCTTTCAGCATTGTTGAGCATCGCAATATCACAAATGCTTAAGACGGAACATATTGCAGCAGATTTCATATAAATGACAAAGTTTCATTTTTTAACATTCTTTTGTAACTTTTTGATTTTCGTTTACAAAATATCTCATGACTTTTATTTTTTTTTGATAATTTCAGTTCTTCGCGGTAATGCGCACATATATACTATCTTTCGCTGTTAGGCTTTGCGGTAATTTTCATTACAATTTCGTAACTTTTGCCTGCTTTCGATGGGAAAAGCTGTTGCCTTTCCGAACCAATTGACACTTATCAATTTTATAATTGTGGTTCAATATTCTTCGAAGTGATCTGACATGGCCTGCGCACAAGATGGTAACCACCGCTTGCTCTTTTCTCTGAGAAGATTATAGGCTACACTAACCCCCCTTACTGGCACAACAGGGGGGCACCAAAAATTAGGTAATCACTCACGAAAAGAGTCTGGTTTACAAGGTATGCGAAAGAAACTTAGGTCCGTCGACTAATCTTCTCATATGTATGCAACAATAATAATAGTTGCCTGTATCACTATGATGGGTAAAGATAAGCGCGTATGCACCATTGTGTGCGAAAATTTTCTTGTAGATATGGAAAAGGGTTGCGACTATTATAATACGGTGTTGGTATAACCTGATTTCAAGAAGCCGAACATATATCCCGCTAGATTTTTTTGGATTCCCTTTTGCTTTCCTTTATATAAAAATCAGTGGTGAAGATTTCAAGCAACTTAAGCTAAAATAGATCGGCTTTAAATTGATGCAAATTTATATTGTGATAGCAACTTCCATGTTTTGAGCGTATTTTTAATTTCCACAATTCACCATAATCTTGAATTTTTTTTTTTTTTTTTAGAAAAACCTGAAATGAACTTACATCTTCATTTATATGTGTATTTGGAACGAAATTTCAGCTATCATAAAATTTCACAAGTTAGGACTTGATTTTGGTATAAAACGACGCGCACTCCCTTGATTTATATTATTTCAAAAATTTCTGTAGCACAGTTACGATATAAAACAAAATAATACAACACGGTACGGATTGCATTGATTTGTATTACATTTTAGCTTAAATGATATTATCCTATGTTATATCTTTGTTGAAGTAAATAAATAAAAAAGTTTCAAATAACACCATTTCTATACAGGTATGAATTGATCGTGTTAGACGAGAGATGCCTGATATTACATTTTTTTTGATTTACCTCTACATCAAGGTCCTGCACGAGGTTATCCATTTTATCGCTTAATTCGTCGAGGATAGGATTCGCTGGATTATTCGTAACTTCGCTTAAAAACGCAAATAAATTATCCAAATCGAAAGATTCATTATTAAAATTGCAATTTGAATCTTCTGTCTTGGGAACTGGCTGATATGCATTGAGATGTATAACATTAATTTGATCGGCCATATGTGACAAAACCCTAATTTCTTCCTCAACGAGTCTAGAAGCAAACAAACATTATACTTAGAAATTTTGATTTTAGGAGTATACCTTTCGCAATCTTCGAGAGCTTTGTACGTATCGTTGTCATCTATTTCTTGCAAAGACTTTTCTCTTTTTTTCATTTCCTCATCTACTCGTCGCATCTCGCGCAAAGCCGTTGCGACCTGAAATTAATACAACACTATATACATCCGTTTCATCTCAAAATATTTCTTTGGACGGTTTTATGTTACAGTGATTTTCCTGAATGCGACGTAAACTTTTTACTTTTTTAACTTGTTGGGTTGCTTGACAATTGCAGATGCTTTTATTACAGCGGTCAGCAAAGGCATTCCAAACGCTATTCTTAAAGAATATGTACGCTAAGTTTATTTTTGCATCTCAAGTTTACAAAGTTCAACCAAGAGAACGAGTATCAATTCTGAACTTCACAATTATATCAAACATTTACATGTTTGAGACATACCATAAAATAGTAAATGGATATGACACAGTTTTATCTTAGGGAAATACAAATATTTCACTATATGTTTTATATCTACGTTAAGCTTAAGTTAATGCAAATATTTAACACGAGTATGTTCCCATCAAACATCCCACATTCAGAAACCTATTCGTTGCATGTTTCTAAAATGTCAACCTTGCAGTCATTAATCAGAATAACATTGGAGAGCGAACTTTAGATGAACTGCAAGATTTATTGCAAATTTTCTCTTTAGCGAGTGTGGTAAGCAACAACATAAGAGGTGCACATGTTCATCTTTACGGTTTATCCGACAACTCTCTACTTTATATAGACAAGCCATTATTAGCATTGAATATATTGATAGTTAAAATCCCCTCCTTTCTGGATCTGAGCTCCACTCAGATAGTGCATAATCCGTTCTGGTGCAGTGAACTGACTAACATGCGCGCTAAAGCATAAACTACTTTACTAAAGCACGTTCGTGATTGATATCCAGCAAGTATGTGTAACCATTTTTAGTTCTACCCCACTGATGGGTGGTAATCAATCCTTGCTCCCTAGGTTGGCTTGAGTAAGAATGCGGACCACGTGCTTTTTTCTGTAGTTTTTCTACAATTTAATAGATTTATTTTACGCAAAAACGTATTGTTCTATTTGTAGATATTGAAAGATAAGAGAGAAAGGTTAAACCCGCTTAAATGGCTATGGAACGAACTGTTGAGAACGAAATCTTGCCAATTGTTCATTGCTGCACTAGGTTTCCACCTGAAGATATGATGATTGCGTAATGTTGACTGTAGAACAATCTATCGGTCATTCAGACCACCACAATAATATAATATTTAATCAAACATATATTGATATTTTAAGATTAACATTTCAATTTTGCTTAAGCTCGCCTTGCTCTAAGCACAGATTTTTATTTATATGATTACCTCTCTTGCAAAAACACCACGTAGTCGGCTTTGAATTACGACAGCAGCCCGTCTAATTCTTAAAAACTTTATACGTTGTTTCCATCCACGATACGCATGTTGAATTTTCAGAGCTGCGCCTCGTACGTTTATATAACTTTTTTGTTGAACGTAGCGCTTCCAATTTTTTTGAATTATCAAAGCTTTTGTGTTAATTATATGTTTTCGACTGTCTTCTAAGGGTTCGTACGCTTTTGTTCTGAGAAATATTTTCGATTTTCCTAGTTGCCATTCGGATTGTGGAATATCCAATTCAGACATTATGCGACTCACTTGAATACTAAATAGTTCACTTTTTTTATTTTTTATCAACGACTTGTATTTTAAAATGAAATTCGAAAAAGTAAAATGAATTGGAAAGCCTTCTCGACGAATACGTATTATATCTAACATTCCTAAATATTTCAACTGATCCAGCACAAGCGATTTGTTGTACATATTAGGCAGCTTTTCCGAGTTGGGCTTAATACATCTAACGTACCTGTGGCAATAATGTGTTTAAGAAAATGAGTGTTGCTGAACTGGGTAATCTCTTACCAAGGTTTCGTGTTTTGTAAAACATCTATTAGCGACTGCAGCTGCTGCCTGAAATTGTCACTTACGGTTATTTTTGCTTTCGATGTTCCCCTTTGAATCGTATTTGAACAGTGCACATTCTGCATTTCCTGTGAAAGAAAATAATTTATGCATCCAATGCAATAAATGAAAGATCTCTAAAATCGCTTACTAAACTTCTTCTGTTCAATCTTTTCAATGTTTAGGAAGACAACCAATAATTTTGTTATTCTGCTTACCACAATTGCATCAGAATTTTACCCTAAGGTCGCAATTGACCATCAACTGGGACCAGCGCAAACCTTTCCACGCCGCCGACTGCGTTGATCATATATGCCACAGCTTACTAGACGTCACTGCATTGGTGAAGTCCCCTGCAAAGTTAAATAATGTGGATCGTCTGAAGCAATTACCGACGAAAGTGTAAGGAAAGCACACGTGTGAAGAATCTCACGGAAGACACAGATGTACTAACAGTGAGGATAGCGTTGATAGTTAGCGTGAGCGAACGCGGCCTGGCTTGCGCTTTTCCTTAGTGTAGATGCATATTGTCTTGCAGTTACATATTCCCTGCTGCCAAAGTATCTTTTATTGCGGGCGTAATCAAATTAAGCTTGAATTACGACAAAAAAGTACAAGCCCTTTTTTTGCGCATTAGCAATTATCCCAATCAATCAATAAGCATAGTATGCTTCGTCTGGATTCGTATAAATACTTAGGCTTTTGAATTAAAATCCGCATTTCTCAAAGCCACTAGGACCTGCATTGTATGCTAGTTAATTGCGCTGTCTGCCCAGAGATAAGTAACACACGACAACCTCTTGAAAAAGATAAACGCTTTAGGGTGTTCTTCTAGCCATTATTAAATAAAACTGTGGGAATTGCAAGCAACAATTTTCTTACTGAAGAAAACAAGGCGAAACAGAAACAAAATGAAAAAGGGGTTATCGAACTTAAAAATAGTAAGGAAATAAGAACTGGGAGAAGAGTACAGATCAGGATATATTAGATTTAAAAAAGCGTACGAGTAGCATTCGCAGAACACATTTAACGAAATTTGGCGAACACGGTTATATGGAAGCTATTTTGTTGTCATTATTAAAAAAAAAAAAAAAAACCCTAGATAAACAAAGCTTAGCGGTCACCCAATCCACGTGATCCAATCGATTGGACTTTAAGTAAATACGAAGTGTAAGCAATACAGCAAAAGCCGACGTCCAACAAAGAGTAACCCGAGAGAAGGCAACCTCGAGGCAGTACAACCAGAAGATTTGACCGGACAAAAAGTTCATTTACACAAGAGTGGTCACTCATTTGTAACCAATACGCGTAGCTAAAAAATTTTCAATGTTTGGCCATCAAATCTAGAAAAGAAAGCCCTATACGACATTTTCAGGTTTGTCCAATGTTCAGATTTGTCGCCATTAGCATAAAAATACTAACATCGCTATGTTTTTGTCACAAGCCTTCGTTCTAATATAGTTAGAAGGTTGCTCAAGGATTCAACGTTGCGTTATTGCCGCAAAAGGGATCATGCTAATAAAAAGATAAGTTATCTAGTGTTCAAGCTAATACTATTACTTCAAATGGCACAATTAAAATGTAGCTACAAACGGATCAAGTTGGCGCCCTTACCTTTAACGTTCTAGATATAACATAACTTTGGGGATCATTACCCACAATCAGAAAAATTATTTTATTACATTTTTCCTCTTGAATAACAAGCGGCAGAAAAACACGCCAACAACAACACCGAAGGTGATAATTGAATGCCAAAGAATTATTTGAAGAATTAAAACCAGCGACAACAAATAGAACACAAGTAACAAAATGAAGAGCATCTGCTTCGAGTCGCAACGAATATATTGCGGACAACAAAAATGCATTTCATCTTCAGAACGCCTCTTTATTCTCTGCGTTTGGCGAAGGAACACGCATAACGCGCCCAACTCAGAAGTTTCATCTATGTAATATATAACCCTAAAACCCCCATCCTGCTTACAATACTCCTCGGAAATTTGGATAATTTTAATAGAAAATTGATGACAAAACGCAGTACGTACACATTGCGCCAAGTTTAAGATGGTACATAGACGAAAGCTCTTTCATAGTCAAACCAAACAAAACATACATTTGTGCAATCTTAAATGGAGCGCAAAAAACACAGTTGACAAATAAAGACAAGTAAGCCGCATGTAATATTAATTCCAACGTAGCTGATGGATGAAGCGATAGTTCATGTATTTTTTTTTTTTATTGTAAGAGTCTTTTAGATTAAATATGATTTACTTTGATCGATAGCTTTTCACCGTTCTTCTGGTGAAATAAATATGGCATCATTGTAGACCATATATAATCTTACAACCTCAACCCGGAGTTTTATATATTTCCGTGATATTTATGGTGAAATGTACTTATCAAAGTCAGGAGCACGACCTGGACGTCCAATCTTTGGTAAAATCGTAAAATTTTTCCAAAAAGTTGAAGACAATTGACACATTTCATCTGTCGCCGTTGCGGAATTGAACATTCACGAAAACATATTGCAAACAGTTCACATAAAATGAAATACAAAAGAAGTTCCATATGTGGCTACCACACGAATTAACAGTGAAAAATTGCATGGTCCAAATTCCCAATTGTCAATAGCTGGTGAAACGAAACGAAAATTATCATTTTTGGAAAGATTATTTCAAGATTGATCAATCCAATCGGAATACTCGAACAATGAAAAGGGTATCTTAAGCATTTAATAATCGAAATGAATTAAACCTCTCGTGGATGTTGCTCCCTTGATATATTTTGAAGTTTCTATTTTAAGATGATTATTTGCATTCACAACACGACATTAAGCACAATAATAAGTAAATAAATTAATAAATTAATGATTTGTAAAATGAGATACGCAACAGTTCTCCAGTAGTTTTTTTAGGCTACATATCCACGCAAAATTCTACTACCGTCTCTGCAGTTTTCCTAATTTGTATACACGCCGCTTGTATTCATATTTGCCAAAACGTTTACAGCATCGAGAAAGCCGTTTCATAGATTTTTAGAAAGTCTTTCTTGATATATGCTCTTGACAAGTGTCAACTTCAGAAACGATTAAAGCCGTTTTGGCAAAATTCCCTTCGGTGTTAGATAAAAATTTTCCCTTCGGTGTTAGATAAAAAAAAAGGTAAGGTAAGCTAAATCTCTATTTAAAGCAAAGATTTCAATTTCTGCGTTCTGCGCTACGTAAGTTCGTCCGCTAAAACACATCCACATTTAAAAACCCCCGGGTTCTCAAGATCTCCTATTGTACGTATATGTTACCAATTAGTGAAAAGATTTGCAGAATCTTAATTGAAATTAATTGAATCGTATTAATTTTTGAGAATTATTTATACTGTTTATATACATATAAATACCTGAAACATTGACAGTTCTCTAACGAGGCTGTTCGTACTTCGATTCATGTAATCAAACAACACATCCTGTTGAACGTCCCGATTCTTTTCCACAAATCCCTCTGCAGTGTAAATTACTGATCCAGCGTAATGTTTCACCCCGAATTCTGTTTCCCAATGTCGACGATCAATTCCCTTGATGTAATACGGGTTATACTCAAACTCCGCATGCATATTACTTAAATAAGCTGCGTCAGATCCTTTTGGCAAGTGGCATTGCTCAGTCAGCAACTTAAATACACATCGTGGTGGCTTTTCAATGAGTTCAAGACACAAAGAGTTGTCAGTGAATTCAACATGGGCGTAAATAATTTCCTCTTGTTTATACTACAAGAAATCCGACACAATTATCATAGAATTGTAATATTATTATTAAATATTTAAAATTTTAAGCCACTTAATGTAATGTTATAAACAAAGCAAGAACGTTTTTATGTTAACCCAAACATTAAATATCTTTCCCCAGCTTTAAGAAGAGTTTGAGAAATAGTTTTTGTTTAAAAATTAATGATTCCTTTAAGTTACAAAGGGTCATAATACTTAACTTGGAAGATATTAAGCCAAACCCCGAATGTTAACTCGCCGAATTTGCAATAACACATTTTAAGCAGAGGCATAATCGACAGCATATCAAAACATATCTTATTTCATTGTGAAGATTATTTCAACCTTACTGACATGCCTTCTTTTAAAAAACTAGGCTTGATGTGGTTGCACGTTTGATCTCCTTAGGGACAGGACCGACTTATAAAGTGAAATTAACTTCAGTTTTACGTCTACAGCGCGCCCCGCAACCTAGTTTCGACATCGGATTTAATCAAAAACTGTCGACAAAACATTGCCAGAGAAAGCCACTACAAACATGTTGTCAAGGATCCTCTTCTACATCAATCTCAGAGCATGACTTGCTTCTAAAAATGTTTTCGTCTATGTTCTGCAAATATTTCTGCTGTCTCTGCAATTAGTAACGAGAAGAAGGATATCTCTCTGCTGCATTAAGTTGCAGAGTATTTAACTCCAATAAATATCGAAGAAATCCAACGAAAAATACCAAATATTCTGCAACTGTCACCGAACTTAGCAACTAAGCCTCAATGCAATGTGACTATTGTAAAAAAGATAGCCAAAATTCATTCAGATGCAAGTACGAATGCCGTATACCGGCAATTTACATTACATTCGAAATAGGCTTAGCGACTGAGTATTTTCGAATCAAATTCCAAAAAAACCTTAACTATTGCTGATCGCCATTATGCCAGGTGGTCGTTAACGTCAATTCGTCATAATGTCACTGCAAACTAGTTCTACGTTAAGAAAATAAGGCTCTACACGACGTAGTCATTTCGTTTCGCTTTCATTGAGATGAATGGACTTTTTTGGAGCTACATTGAGCTTCAAATGAAGCCGAAAGACGAAGAAACAAAAGTAATAATTGCTTAAAGACAAATTTTTTCAAACTGTTTGAATATTATATCCTAAACAGTAAATCTATTTAAAAGCCTCCAAGCCCATGTACTGTAGATTAAGAGAACCGTCCATCTATACTAGAGGGGACAACTTCATGAGTTGTAGTAAAAAATATTTTTACATACTCTTTTGCAATTTTTCGATGGGAGCATTTTTAGTGTATTTTTATATGTTTGTACATAACCAACTCCAACAGACGTCCTAAGGCTCTTTAGCGCTATAAATATTGTGAGTTAAACATTTCCTGGGAAGTACAGTCCAGGAAAAAAGTTGATGGTAGCCACTGTGTTTTTATAGGTGCGTTGGATTATATCCTACCAAGAGATAAGACCATTGCCATTGAACAGCCTAAAATAAGGCGTTTTTAATCATCTTTTTAGGACACAACTTAAGGTAATAGACTTATTAATATGAGTATGTTCAAGTATTAAAAATAAGTATTTCTGAAATATATTAAAAAATTATGACAACGAACTCATTCCGCCGAGGCATTACCAGTTTAAAGTGCTCTACGGCATGAAAAGTAGTTGGTTTAAATTTGAATGAAAAAAAGCATATAATCTACATGCCTGTGACTAGTAAAACGCGACAGACTTTTTGATACCTTGATTTCTGTGCAACTGGTTAGTATTTGAATGAAGAATCTCACTTTTTTAACAAAGCAAGGACACGCCTTTATTAATAAAAAATATTGGAATTGAATTATCGAGAATATTCTTTATGACTCACTAGAGGATGTTATTTTAAAGAAAGCGTAGAACCTTCCGGCAAAAAATGAAAATTGTTTGAGTTATACTACGTGTCGTTTACAAAAATCGTTTTTATGAAAAAAAAACACGTGTAACCATAACTACCCTATAGTTATGTTGTAACTATGTTGTTTTAACTGTTTAAAATTTGTTCTCATCCATAATGGTCCTTCTCTATCATTCTTAGTTATTTAAGAGATCGTTTAAGCCAATAAAAAAAAAAAGATTTCTTGAAAAATTTACAATGGTCGCACTCCTTAAGTGATGATGATCTCAGAAGAATATATGACCCTTGTTAATTTCGTTACAATGAAATCCAAAGTTAATATAGTTTTAGTAATTTTGTGACCGCATCAACATCAATCTCTACATATTCCTAAATATATTTATAAAAAGCTAAGATGATTTTTCTTATTTAATTATTAATTTTTGATTTGACAAGTAAACTTACAATATCTTGTTCTAGTGCAAACACATAGTGGTTGAAAAATTTGTGAAGCTTCTCGTTGGCGTAATTAATGCAGAATTGCTCAAAAGAATTTTGAGTAAAATTTTCAAACCCGAATATATCTAATACACCCAAAAAACGATTTCCTTCTTGAGCTGGGTTTGTGCAATTGTTAATTTTTGATACCAACCAAGCGAATGTTTTAGAATACAAAGCTTTTGCCATAGCGTGACGGTTTTCGCGCGCCTGAAAATAGATAAAAATGTTGTAAAAAAAGAAACGCAAATTTAGGCAACTAGGTAGGTGTTAGGTTAGATAAACTTAATAAATTGCTTCTACTGAACGACGACGCTTAGCAAAACAGAAACAAAATATGGACCCCAACGATTTTTTTGTCCAAAAATGCCGATATTTGAGTGGTGTAATAATTTATATAAATCTTTTAATGAATTATTTAATGTAATCTACTACTACCATATTAAACACCCCTTTTCTCAGAGCTGAAAATTTTTTTCAAACAAGTAATCCTCGCTGGTTATACAAACGTTAACACACTTTCTACCCAACAACTCATTTTATTTTAAGATCTTTAAAAACAATAGAAGCTAATGCCTCTCTATAAAAGTAAAAAAAATTCTTCAGTTAAAGTACTAGATATATAAACCAAAAAAAATTATCTTCACTATTAACTGCTCGAAATAAAATTATGACTCCATATTTTTTACATTAATTACATAGAATGCCAATTTCACAGACTAACTTTACAATTCATGTTTCTGCTGCTCTCGTTGGCACCGCAAAATGTACATCTTTACACATATTGGTTTCTTTGGCAAAACCGCGATAAATCTTTCGAAGTTGTTTGCGTTATCAGCTTAACCACAGTCCGTAGATGAAGAATTGTTTTAAGGAAAAAAAGGAACGAAGGAGAAATAATTTTCGAAGATTATGCTGGCCTTAGAATAACTGTGTGCTTGCCAAGTTTTTTCATTAACATAAGATCCAAAAATTTTTCTTCACTACTTGGCCGCTTGCAGATATTATACCATGCAGACGTTATGTAGCATACAGGTTATATGTAATACGTGCATACATATGCGACGTACATAAAGACACACCGCTTTTAATACATTATACGATTTAGCGTCATTCTTCGAATCAATTTAAATCCGTCTATTCGTTTGTTCCTCATGTATGAACATTCTTAGGAAAAAGGCTCTCATAAGCCAAAAGATATCTAATTTTGCGTTAGTCTGTAGTGAAAGTTGGTCAACCTGAGATGCTTTTGCTATGTTAAATGTGGGTAAGTATGCCTTCGACGGTATCTCTATATATAGGTCGAATTACATAACTTTTCTACAGTAGATATTGATTTAATGCCGTCGTTAATACTAAATCCGCCATCTATATAATATAATATGTAATATTAATATACAATACTAAGCACCACTATTCGTAATTTATATATTGCAAATTAAATTGTTATCCCTTTGCGATGAGATCGTCACACAGTCCCACCAGCTACGAAGTGCTAAGTTTGCTATGATCGTTGCGTATAACCTTAATTAACTAAATTTCGCCGCTTGTAACAGTCAGCTTAGCTAAACAACTAAGGAAACCTTCGACTGCGATTTGAATTTAGGTGTGCAAGGCATTTGACAACCGCGAAACGCACTACAATGTATTAAAAAAAAAAAACATTTTTTTTAGCTAGCGCTGCTAGCAAACATTCCTTTCAGAGTGTATAAACTGAAATATAATTGAAATGTAGCAAAGTTGACTCAATAATTTCGACATAAATAGCGGCACAAACCAGCTTGGAAAAATTGTTTTTTATGTACCTCTTGTAACTTGAGCGGTATCTCGGTTATATTTCCGCGGACATTAATTTGTCGATGCTGCAATACTTGGGTTATATCGACAAATTTCAAACCTAAAAGTTCCGATATTAGTTCACAAATTTTGAAATCCTCGTCTAGAAATTCACAACGCTCTCCGTCGATATCTGCAAACTCTAAATTTCCCAGCCATAAAATGGCACTTAGCACTTTAAATACGCCATCGATAGATTGTTGCGGAATTTGCAAAACGGTAAAAGCCATTGTTAATGCTTCGAATTTTTTTGCTTCATTTTCGGTATCCTTCTTCATGCCTCCCGATGCATTAAGATATCGATAGATATGAGTTGGCTTAAGATGTAACTCTTTCGCCATTTCGGGGTTTTTTTGACCATGGGCAACAAGTTGATATAAGACATGATAATTTCTTTCACCCGGGCTTTGAAACGTTATGCGTGATTGTTCCAATAGATAGTCTTGAATCACGCATCCGCTAATGCAGTGCTTAGAATCGAAACACACCTGCATAAATTTTCCGAACCGAGAACTGTTGTCGTTTCTTGTTGTTTTGGCATTTCCTGAAAAGGTATTACAAATTTCTTGTAGTAGGAAATAACACGAATAAATAAATTTAGAAAATTAAATTAAAGTTAAGGTCGCTTCTAAGTTACACAATAAATTATTGATATTTTTAACATATTCTCTATGCTCTACTCGCAGAGCCATTAGAAACATATATTTTGAAATTCAAACCAATCTTAGACCCTAAAAGCTTCCAAAAAAGCTTAAGATGAAAGCTAATATATTATTTTCCACAGCATATGCAATTTGTTTATTACAAAACATATTAGAAGTAAGCGCAGTAACAAGCGAAGCAAGAAAATCATTCATTGTAAATACCTTCTAATTCATTTTTAGATCATTTTTAAATGTCTTCCTGGAAATTATGTACAGAGAAAATTTAACGACATGACTATTAATGACAAGTAAGTCGATCGTTTGCCGGCCCTTTTCGCCTTATATTAATATCGACGCCGAGTTTGAGCAAGGAGCGTAGAGACGCGAAACTGATTAATATACCGTTAACTAGACCTCGCTACCTCCTGATAATATACATTAACTCATACCACTTAGTTTTCAAATCATTGGCACGCAATTATAACGCTTTGTGGCGAGAATGACACCTACCACGATTGTAATTGGCCGCGTTGTTTTAAGAAAATACAACAACACGATAAAATAAAAGCCATTTTCTCATAAATGCAAATATATTTTTCTCTTTTAAATTTTTGTTAACACGCACCAATAAAATTATTCTTGTTTTCACGATTTAGACTTTTTTGCGGTGTGTCAATATTGCCACCAAATTTCAAAGGTCATTTAAACCAAACTGAGGACTAAAGCAAAGTTGTTTCTTCACTAAAAGAGAGAAAATCAACTGCTAGCATATAGCTGTTTAAAATGAGGCGAAGCAGCGATGAGGGAATATAAAGCGTATTTATAAGTAAGGGATATAATGCAGCGAAGAAATTTCTCTTGTCTTTAGTCGCAAGTCATTTGAAGCATATTTTTTATCATTCGAGGGACAATATATTACGTTTGCTCAAAAGAATTCCAGGCATTCACTAAATTCATAACAAAAGTGAGCTGCATGGCGTTGACGCGGAAAGCGTCTTATGTAGTTTTTACAATAATTTTATTTTTTTCTTCTATTTGGCGAAAATAAACCCAACACACAACGCATTTTTGTGATAGCTCACTGAAAACTTCAATCATTTCAATACGAATTGTTGTCATTTGTAGTTTCATAGGAACGCAGTGAATTATTAGTTATATTTCAATTAGTCATCTAAGTCTCCTAATTTACTTCATCCATTTGCAGCCTCGAAAATGTTCCGATCATGTTTTGTATTCCACTACAGAGTCCTAATTTTTTAGATCGCTTTAAACGCCATATTTTCCCATATATAAATTCGTTTGTAATGTCTTTTTGAAGTTTATTTTAATAAAATTTCCTCGTAATCAAGGCTAAATAGCTAAACTTAATTTTTCAGAAGTTTTGGTTAATGGTCTATTGTTGTATTAAAGCAATTTCAACTACAGCCGTCTTTAATTTAACATTGAAAAAGAGTTTTTCTTCCCAGGGAACAAGTAACAACGATTAATGGCAGCAGAAATCTCGTCAATGTATTTAAAAATAGAACAGCAGCAATAACAAACGGCAGAAAATATTTGATAATCAGACTCGAAAACCAACCAAAGCTAGCCGTCTATTCTATGGTTATGACTGCTGTTTTCAAAGCCCAGTACAAAAGTTTAAAAACAAGTGTTCGACCTAAATGCAAAATGTAGGTACGTACTAAATATAACTAATTTTCATTTCATAATTTATTTCATCAGCAAATATAAATTTCATGGTCGCCAAATACTTTAAGAAATTTCAGTGAAAATACTATTTAAAGAAATATGAAAAATTGTTGATATATAATTAAGAGACTCTTGAAATAAATAAGCGACAGACCATGTAAAATAACTCGCCCTTTAAATAGAAAATTGGAAACAATATGCCCCGTATGTATGCATACAAAAATAAAATTAAACTTTGGTTTTCTTTGTACATATATATTTATAGGTATACCATAGCGCATATTCACTCAAAAATACCGGAAAACTACGTACCTTTGTTTTATAAACGGTTGATAGAGTATAATTTAAGAGAATACTTAACCATACAAATAAAGATAATGAAAAAGCAAACAGTGAAATAGGCGCTACTATTGTTATTGATAACAAAAACACCAAAGTTCTGTCATTTATTTGCCCCTCATATTACAAAACCTTCCATTTGGTTCATGAATATATGCATTCCATTAGATTGTTTAGCACGCGGCTTTGAAGACTGCATGTGAATTTGTCTACTTACTTCTAAGGTCGTACACGAAATCGGACCTGACTTTGGGGTTTGAAGAAAAAATGTTAAGACTTTACATAAATTGCCGACATTTTCTAAATATAACGACTTTCAGTGTTTTAGCTAACAAATTAATATGCAAAGTATGTAGCTTAATGGTCGAATTCCGCTGAGTTCACATTTACCATTTATTAACTTTATATTTTTTCAAACATTTTTTCATAACAAACAGTCAGAAAATTCAAATACCTCGATTTCTTATTGTAGAAAAATATACATAATAAGATCTCAACAACTGATAAAAATACCAAAAACTGCAAAGTTTATTTCAAACAAATAAAAGAAATAATTGTAAAAACGGGACTGGAAGATCTTGTTATCTATACGTACCAAATGCTTCTAAAATTGTATTCGCTTCCAAAATTTGTTGTTGAATCCACGTTGAAACTTCAGATGTTACTGCGCATAAATACTGAAGTATAAACTTTGTGGTTTCTGTTTTTCCAGCCCCAGATTCTCCCGAAATAACGCAGGACTGAAAAATTTTATTACAGTTTTATATTCTTTATACTTTCCTTTTGATGCACATAAAGTTTTATATCATAAAACCATAGAGAATTGATAACTTCATTAAAAGATTCATAATGACGCTCGCAATACTCTGCCCCAAAGAGCTTTATTGGTTACGTAGGCAAACATAATCGATGATAAATAAAACAAGCTTTGATAGGGATATCTAGCAGCAAAGAAGTTATACATTTCCCTTTCATAAAGGGTTCTGTCTAAGTAGCAAAGTACTAAACAACCAACCATCCATATGGCTTTTGCGAGAATGTCCATTATCAGAAAAAGCAAAAAATTCTGCAAACACCAAGAAGTTTGTCAAGAATTCAAACTAATTTTCAACGCAATATAAGATATTTGAAGGATATCCAACAACATATAAATAAATCTTCCTCTACGACAAAATCCAAAAAAATTGCAAATGTAGAGCAGCGAATAGAGGATATAACCTATATGGCATTAAAGTTGCAAATAAATGTAATATGTGGTATGTTTTTAATGGGTTGGTTTTGCTCGATTTACCACAACAAATATTTTTTATTACGTATTCCTTTTGCTTTTTTTATATTCATCGCTGTAAGATGGGGTATACTCATTCTATGTTTTTTCCATAATGTATTTAACACCCAAAAGGAAGCTTCAGGGACCCTACAAATTATATATTTCCTTGATCAGCGTGAAATTCTGAACTGATTTAGCCATATCTGTCTGTAGGGTTTATATTTGTTTTTGGCATTCTCCTGTTCACAAAAATAAAGATATCGACTTCAAATTTGGTAGAAGCAACGCAAGATGTTGCACGCAGATTGGTATTGAAAATGGTCCAAATTTTTTAGATCAGAAGCTCGCAGTGAAGTGTAAACTGAACAGAACGCCGTCTTTTTTAACAAAAACTTCAGGGTTTTTGCTCGTTACTCGGAAATTATTACGGATAGAACTTTTCCACTTTTACTTTACGAAGCGCTTTACCCTTTACGTGTAAAAATGAAAAAAACCGGCTATGCCCACACAAAGTTACAAGTGATTAAATTTTTTTATCTTATAAATCTGCTTATTTGTCATAAGGCAAATAAGACAGAATATTTAAAACTATTTTGTACGTTCCTCAAATAAAGATATATTATTTGCATACAAATGGGTTAATTCTAAAATGAACATCGTAGACACCGCGATTCGGTGGATTAATTTTTCTTAATAATGCCAGCAATATGGGTATCAAATAAAAGAACTTGGAGAGTAGAATGCGAAAATGCAAGACTTGGTCCCGCCGAATATAACTTTCTTACTTGTTTTTTTTATTAAATGTACGCTACAAAGTGGATACGTATTGTAGATTGCTTTGTTTTAGTATTGGCAGCATATTTCTGTATTCTCAAAGTAGTGTAAGGAAAGCAACGGAAAAGAAACTTTATCCGCTGAAGGCGGGAAATTGCACCATATACCATTTTGGGTACAAAGTTTGTCAAGTTTTTGCAGGATAGGTAACAATCAGGAAGATACCTTTATAACAACGACCGAATTAGCGTCATTTTTGGAATCGATTTAAGTTTGCGCGTTAACGTTAGGTTGCTTAATCTTATCTTTAACTTCAAAGTCAAGGTTCTTGAGTCATTTTGAAGACAATTTGGTGCATTGATGTGTTTTAATTCTAAGAGGAAAGCATTTATTAAAACTAAACGCCAGTTTACATATATGATCGCATCGATTTAGGGATTGCATGCGCACTTATGTGCAATCAGGGCTGCGAAGTGTAGAGATTAGATCAGTTTGAGTTACAACCGAGCATATAAGTGAAAATGATGGCCGTAATTGACGAGTAGAACGGGTAAGGTAAGATGTCAATTGCATCCGAAAGAATTTCTAAATCAGAATTATTATTAATATGTAATTCTCGCCACATTTCAGCTGCTTTGAAGAAGCTGCTCTTGGTGCTATAAACCCATTTTTTTTTAAAATCCTAATCATTATTTGCAAAAGATGAATATTTGCGAGTGTGATTTAACAAATGAAACGCGAAAAATTATACGAAGCTACAAAAGCGAATAAGCAAGAATAAGTCAGCTATTCGAGTTGACGGGGTGGGTTAGCGATAATATGGCATGATCATATTAAAAGTCTGGTGTGACAGAAATCAGCAGATAAGAGAACATTTCATTGAAAAGAAAACCGTGTTGCTTTCATTTTATAAATTTTTTGACAGAGACATTCTAGAAAGTTTTGACTTTTAATCTAAAGAGATTATTTCATTAAAAAAAAAAATCCATTCTCACCTGATTAACGTTGTCGTCAATTATATTGCTATAAGAAGCTTCAGCCAAAGCAAATATATGTGGATCCAAAGTTCCGAGTTTTCGTCCTCGATATTTAAAGACATAATTCTACGATTAGACATTATTATTGTCGGATGAGACCGTTATTTTTGTTGCAAATTACCTTATTAAAAATACTTAAACATTTGTACGGGTTCACTGCAACTAGAATAGAACCTGTATAAGTCTGTTAAGAAGTAATTTAGGAACACCATGTTACGTAAAGAGGAAACATCATTTCTTTAGTGCTTCAATTCCGACATTGGATTTATATATTTCACATTAAAATGAGGATTGCTTGTTTCCCGCTTGGACTTGCGCGGCGACTTTTTCAAATTTAAACGAAAAAAAGGAACAAATTATTTACTACAGATACACAAAGCTGGCGGAATACGTAGAATATTTTGATTGGTTTTTATCGCTTTAAAATTAGTTTATAGGCAATCTTCTGCATACTTTACTACAAAACGTTATTTTAAAGTAATTGTAAGAAATTCGAACGAAAAGCATAAATATTACGGACTCAAGATTTGATCTGATAATATTTTAAGATTATTATATGGAGATTAAATTATCGTTCAGATTTTCAAATTGAAGTATAGGCCCTTTTAACGTGTGGATCAGGCACCAGAGTTCAATAAAGACGCTGTGCTTTATTTATGGAAAGTTCCTTGTGCATATCAAATCGTAGTTTCGGATCCTCATGTTGTTAAGTTCTATTCCTTTATATACGGAGCATATCGTATGCCACCGGCTCTCTCGCAAATGAAACAAAATAACATTCGGCATCTGACCAAACGATCAGCTCCCCAAATTAATCTGGCCGCAACTCTCTGAGCATGTCCAGAGAAATATAAAAATTGCATTTGAAGACTAACTCCTACAACTGTATACGTATGTAACTATATCTTAATGTGGAAAGAAGACAAAGACAAGCTTAGAGGACCACAATTCAACCTCAAGAAAATAATTTACGTATTGGAAAGGAATCTATTCTTTTCGTTCCTTTCAAAACAAATAACAAATCTCAGAAACCAATTCTGTTTGCCACCAAAAAAACACAAACGAAAAACCCAGTTACATTCAAGGAAAGCAAGTGAAAAATTAAGAGGAAAATTTGTTTAAAACCATACAAAAAATTTTAGAAATATTAGTTTCTTCTTCTGCTCAAAGGCTCAGACACTCACATACACATGTACCACAACTAAATGTTTAGTTCTATTCTCTTTTTGGGATAAAATCTATTAAAATTATCTTCATTGTAGTGATTCGTTTTTGAATTTTGTTATACCGCGTCCTGGTCTTGGTTATTTCGGAATAGTTAAGTTTCATTGCTCTTCTTTTTCGCTCTCATCCTTTACTGCTCCCATTTTGTGATTAATAATGGTTAAGAATGGATAACAATGGTTAAGAATGAGATTTGATGAAATTTTTTTCACCACTTTTCTTATGTATTGAAAGCAGTTCTTGCCTTCTCCATTCTCCACACATTTTTTTATAAACGGTGCAAAGGAAAAAACCAGCTAACGGCTTCTGTTATCCCTATTCAATACAAAGGTCTCGTCAAGAGCTTATTGTTTTAGTAAAAGAAAATAAGGAACAACAACGTAGTAGTTATACGGTTCCGTAATGCTTTTTTTGGTAAAAGAGCCGGAACAGGAATATCAGGCAAAGGTAAATAACGTACTTCGCACTTCGGCTTCCCATATGAAAGGAAAGAAACAGTTTTGCCTAGAACATCGTGCAGGTGGTGTAATATAACTTTCCAGAACATTTATTGCGCTACCTCCTCAGACTTTTCTAAGGAAGTATACAACTACCATGAATTATTTTCTGTACATTCTACAGCTGTTTCTCCTTTCGAATGTAATTACCATGGCTTATTTTCTATACGATATGATTCATTTCAGTTTCTCCTTTCGAATTCAACTACCAGTGCCGATAAGTAAGATTAGATAGCTACATTCTAAGTTTTCAGGAGCGCTCTTTCTCTTACCCGCCTTTTCATTAGAAATGAGACAAACTTTAGGATATGCTACTCTATTTTCAAATCTTGGAATCAAAGAATCTCCATGCCTAATCTTTTCTTGTTCTTCTTCTGCTGCGAGTCAGCAAATCTATAACAGACGATGTACTGAGTTGAATAAAAAATTTCAGGTTGCTATCTTTTTTCTTACTACTCCGGCAAATCGCTAGAAATAGGGGACCAATAGGATGTCCCTTAGTGGATATATGCCGTTTGGGCATCTTGAAAACTTGATCACGTAGGCAATTAAAAGTCTTTTCAAACTTTATAGCCATCTTTTTCTTTTTTTTTTTGAAGGTAGAAAATTAAAAAGAATCAAAATGACGTACTCGGTAACCGTATACGCAGATAACCAATTGACAGCAGTGGTTCAATTTTTAATGGGGATGTCAACATCAATTTCAACTTTGTTCCTAGTAAAACGCAGCATTTCAAAATGTACTGGAAAAGTTAAGTTAAAGTTATGCAGACATTTTCGAAACAGTTCAAAAAAGGATACGTATATAATATCATTTTCATATCGCAAATTTAAATTATTATTTATTCCAGCCTCATCGATTTCCGGAATGTCAGTCATATCATCAACTCCCACTCTTAGACTATCCATAGTTCTGAAATGAAATATATTAAGTAAAAAGACGCTTTGTATAAAAACAAGTAAATTATTTCAAATCTAATATAATAGTAATAGCATTTTTGTTAATTCTACATAGAATTGGATCAATTTTTTGTATCCAGGAACAATTCTACATAAAACTTGAGTTCTGCACAACTTACGTAGAATTTGCAAATGATGTCAATATTTAACAAAACCCTATGTTTTTATAAAAGAGTAGTGGGTTGAAATGGAAATTTATGGAAGATAGAAAAATGTCGTCGAAAGATAAGTAGGCCATGGTAAAGAAAAACCTGCCTGACTGAAAATATGCTTGTAGATTATATGTTGACTAAGAAAATTGCAGGATCTAATGCCGTATATTTACTATTATCAGTACATAAGATTTAAAGATTGTGTCAAAGGCTGCAAGAAAAAAAGATTTATTTCAGCTGTTATAGTAATCACAAGGTGGGGAATATTATAAGGAACCAATTGCCACGTGCGTGAATGTCTTAATATAAATCACATAAAAGTGAGCAAATCTTACCCTGCATGCAGCGGACTAATTCATTTGAAATAAAACCGCGACTGAGTCCTACCAATTACTTCAACAACCTTGTGATCAAGCTCCATCGCAACATACGTGTGATTGAAAGTCTCGAATTTTAAAAGTGATGATATCAATATTACAAATAACGAACGAAAAAAGCACGTGAAAAGGTACGCAAATGCAAAACTTCAAGAATTATTGTCTGAAGACCGCATACAAATTTATCTACAGTTTTAGAGTAATTAAAGTGTGGTCTCCTATCAATCTCGAGACTTTAGAAACTTTTAGAAGGTTAGCAGATGGATATCGCATGGATTGAACGCGAGACCGATAAAAAATTTTTAAAGATATTTTGAAAACTCTCGATATTACAATGACGAACATTTCTCTCTGTCTGTTTTCGCCAACGCATACATTTTTTGATATTTGAATAAACGCTTACCAAAACCGTGGTGCAACTAAATTGTTGCGTATAAATTGATAAAAACCGTGGTGCAACTAAATTGTTGGGTATAAATTGATAAAAACCACAATTGTTGTTGCTCTCTTGGAGAGTCTTTAGGCAACGGCGCTGTCCACATTTTATCGATCGATATAAACGTGCATATAAACGCATTACAATAGAATGAAAAATAAATTAATGTTGAGAGTTCTAACCGCAAATATCCAAGGACGGACGTAGCGTTAACTTCAATATAGACCGTGTGTTTAGCAGAAAGATAATGGAGGTGGATAAGGCTCTATATTGGGACCATTCCGTCTATGGCCTGCAGAAAGGATCCAGTTTCATGTTGCCACAACGATAACATACTTATATGGCGACGGCGTTCACCGAAAAAAAGAACAAAGCTTGTTTGTTAAAAAACACTCATTATTACGAGTTACGCGTTACCGCTTCTCAAGCTTTTAGATGGAAATTTATGTCTTAAAAAAAAGCTTCAATAAAATCATTCAACTTTGTTTCATCCATTTGTATGTACAAAAGCTGCAACTTGTTCTATGAATCTAAACAAAAGCTGCAACTCGTTCTATGAATCTAAACAAATGCTTATAAAATTTCGATGACGTCTATCTCTCTCCCCCTACGTCGATTTGTGGACGATTTGTAAGTAAGTAAATGAGTGAACTTCGAATTTCGTTACTTTAGAGAGTGAGTAAATACCCGCATAGCTCTGTTGTTATTCTTATATATTTTGTACATCGTTGTATTTCTATAGAGGAATCAAAGAGTAAAAGAAGTAGTTAATTTTGCTTGTTGAATATGATGCATATGTTTATTATTATTTGGTTCTGCGAAGTTTTGGATTTCATTACTCTCTTCTTCAACATTAAAACTTTAAAATCAAGTTGGACCAAATCGAAGGACGTTATTATAACGCTCGCTTGTCATGACGTCAATATGGTGGATGAAAAAATCGGACAAGTTAACATTATCCCTGAGTTGGATTTCCAACTTAACTCCCTTTTGGGCGTTGACGATCACGTTACGTCGCGATAATGTGTATTCATAATGTTCTAAGAAATTACTGTTCAGGTCATCGCACGTTCCTACTTTAACTTAATTGAAATTGTTTAAACACTTTTGAAGTCTTTTTGCGCTACAATAGTATGGCAACAGCGTATGTAGCAAACTAGAGTAGAGATTGTTGTCAACAAACGCGTCAGATACCTTTTCAACAAACGAATGTAGGCCAGTATATCTCAGTTATCGTTAAGGATTTTGAAATTTGATCTTCCATTATATCTTCACACCGAAGAAGTAATGCATACTCGTAAGCTTAATTGTACTTGTACTGCGAGTAGTTTATACGTGTAGATGCAGCTTGAAAACATTTAGACGTATGATAATTTTTATATATACTTTATATAATAACTATTATTTCTTGTTAATGCTGGAGAGATATGAAACTAGTTATTATTCCATACCAAGGCAATTGTCAGCCCGAATATGTGCAAATTTCCAAATAGGATTTGTAATAATATGAATTAGCAATTATATTTTGATTTTTCGTTGTATGATTCACTAAAGCTTTCCTTATTTGCACTTTGTTAAGTACTGGCACAATCATTTTGTTGCTATTAAACTGTTGGCGAAGAATAATCTCCAGTCTTTGTAATACAAGGAGTAAATTGTGAAAATGAAATTATTTTTCGGATCTTGAAGACCATCTTATCTCAAAAAAATTCCTTTTCCCTGTCTTCTTCTAACAAACAACACTGCTCCAATGCGTGCAATATGTACGTAAAAAATAAATGGATTTGCACAGAACATGCATCATAATGCCACATAATGTGTTAATTTCGAGATGTTCGAAGGAGCTAAAAACTCTATGCAATTTCACTTTTACATTGCAACATTCCAAATTCATGGGATGTGAAACATACGGAAAATCTATTCCGCACCACTATCAATATATTTCCCTTTTTAATTGTCTTTGCAAAACACTGCGAAGTAAGTCTACAAGGTGTGGTTATCCGCTCCGAAAATAATTTCTGTGTTTTAGTGCATTAGATTTGTTAATTCAATTATAAAATTAAACAAACAAGATGTAGAATACAAGGTGTAGAATAAAAAAAATGCAACTAATGGGTCAAACATGCGCCGAGAATTCAATTTCTGGCCGTAAACCCTATAAACACACAAATACTTAAATGCTTAAAGGATATGCAGTATGGGTGTGTTATCGCATAAAAGAAAATCGAAGTGATACTTTCTTTAAAATAAGCTTACACTTGTAATTTGACCGAGATTTATATGTTAAAATTACTTTTCTTTATAAAGAATTCTTTTCACATTTACATCTATATATATTTTTAGTGACACCTCTGTAAAGGAGGATAATTTTTATCTCAAAAACTTCACTTTTCAAATCAAAACGCAAAAACTTGCTAGAACTAAGGTTGTGTTTGCCAGAACAATTTGTTTTTGTCTACAAAATATTAATAAATGTTTATTTATAACAATACAATTTTAAACACAGACCGAACCGCAAGGATGTTTGATATAGTTTAATGTGTTTTCAACATGTGTGTGACGATGGCAACTTGAATTTACATAATTTCAACATTATTCATTTCATTCCCTGCAGTATTCTTTGCAGCATATGTGTCTTATTGCTCACAAGCCCTTTTTGCTTCTAGGTCCTGTGAAATAGAGCATAATTTTTAAGAACACTGATCAATCATTAATTCAAATTAATTTTAAATTTAAGCGATTCCTCAATCCATAGAAAAGAAATATTTTTATTACCTCTTGGTTATTTGGCCACCTAGTTGAAACTTTGCACAGTATTTTTGCAAAATTTGTGTTTATGGTAGCCTTAGTAGGCATTAGTGTGTGTCTAATTACCATTTATTTTTCTACAGTTACATTACAATTGCAGTTGCAAGCGTTTCTTTGTTTGCAACATTTACTTTTAATTTTAATTTGGTTCAGCTACCTTCTGCTTCTAATTTGTTGTTTTTTTTTTATAAGATGTACGAAATTGAACTAAGAAAATAACTTTATCGTTTGTAATATATATATATATTATAATTGATATTTTTACATGTTATCGTTGAACAAGAGATTAAGAACCACAAACCAGAATAATTCATACAAAAGCGAATTATTATATTTTTATAGTAACGATTTGAAAGAGTAGTGACAACAGCAACAATTACAATAACAGCTGTAGTAATGATATTAACAGTTATATATGCAAGATACTGCTTTGCAACAACAATATACGCACGGTGCTACTTTTACATTAACAAAGTACATATGGTATGGATAATATGGAATGTAATCCTGATATGAATGCTATGGAATGCAAGAAGAAATTTGACGTAGCAAAATGAATCGTAAACATAAAAGAATCATTGGAAGAACTGAAGGCACACACTTTGAAGTCACCCTGGAAAAAACTGTGGCCTGCTCTGACTGCGAAAAATGACGAAGAATCTGCACAAGTTCAAACTTTGACTGTAAACATAGCCGAAATCGCGAATGGAATAGGACGAGATGAGTTTGAACAGATAGAATCAAGTGACATTCAGGAATTGCTTGAATCACAAGTTGAAGATTTGACTGAACCCGACTTGCAGGAAATGTTAAATTCACAGCCCACTGAAGAAGAGGCTTCAACAAGCACTGAAAACGTGACATTTAATTTGGAAAATCTTAGGGAAGGTTTAAGAATGGCAAATGAGCTTTGCGATTTCTTTATGAACATTGACCCGTCTATGGAAAGAAGTCTTGTTTTGAGAGGCAAATTTCTAATGCGACCGCTGCGTGTCAGTCTGATTTGAAGGAGCCTTTAAAAACTGCCAAGCAAGAGAAAACTACAAAATTCTTCAAACCACTACCCAAGCCTTAAGATAATTTATCAAAATGTTCAAAAGCTTAATTAAATTGATTTTTTTTATATATTTCATTTTTTTCTTATTTTGTCACCTAGTAACGTATCCCCTATAATCCCATGTAAATTAACTTTCCGTATTCACGATTTCTGTATTCGCGTAATATTTATGGAATAGTGAGGATAAGAACGCTTATTCTCAGATGTAAGCAATTTTTAAACAAATTACTGAGAATAAGAACGCTTATTCTCAGATTGAGAGCTTTCACTGTACTATTTATATATTGAAATCATTAAAACCATTCGGAATGCATTGGTCTCAAACTTAGGAACTGTATTGAAAATACTAAACTTTTCGACAATAAGATGGAAAGAATCCAATTAGGTAAAATATAGTATACAAAAATCTATCTATACAAAATAGTACATTGTATTTTTTCCATTGAAGCAGACATTTTATGGTTACTACTGCATATCAACATAAGCAGTTTTCTACTACGTATCTCATTGTTCTATTGTGAATGCACAACTTTAATAATGAAAAATTGCAAAAAAAAAAAAAAAAGATAATAATTAAATGAAAAGAACGTACTTAGCTTTGCAAAAATTTCCGATTTTTTCACTTGCTTACTGATCTAGTTGCTGTCAAGCAAGTAAAAGAAGTAAAGAAGAGTATTTAAAATCCCATGTCGAATTCAATTCATGGTGATGTCTCGGCGGCAACGAGCGTAACATACTGAAAAAATCTGTTGAAATTATTACCAAATTTACTTATTAAGAATTATATAAAGCTAAAAGCACAATCAAAAGTAACTAAACCCATTCCTTTCTTCTCGCATAAAATACACATAACTATATAGTCATATATATATACATCCCCAATAAATATACATGTGTCTCACAAGTATGTGCAAAATTAATATCACCGGATGCATTTCTCATATGCTTAATTTACACGCTTTCCAGTAAATATATGGGGCTTTTTCATCATTTTTATTATAGGATTCGAATTTTCATCAAATATATTCCAAATTATTAAAAGATAAAAGTATCAACAATATTTTCACTTACGATATATAGTGAAAATATTACAAGCTGACATTGCATCAAAGAAATATTTTTGAGACTTTAATCCAAAATATTGCAAACATAACCACAACCTGAATGACTTGAGGAGGGTGGAATAGCCGAAAATAAACTTATGAGGGAATTAAAGCGTCAATTATTGATTATTGACAACTTCTTACTAATAGAAGTGAAGCAAATTGTTGTATAACAGAATACGTCTTTACATTTAACATGCATTGGTATTAATAACAAAGGGCAAATCACACTCCGCTTTTGTTACTTATGTATACAATACTTTCCTTTTACGCTATAATACGGTAAGTAATATTTGCCAAGAAAGTGAAATGTCTTTATAGAGTACAAGACAAAACCTTTACCTTCGTTTGATTACTTTTTATTGTCACTCCACTTTATTCCCCAATCGAGTCGTTTTGTCAAGCAAAATAAATTCTTTACATATTAACTTAATTTAAGATAAAAGCATAATGCACATCATTTATTCGTATATAGTAATCCATAAGCTGGCCGAGCTTTAGGACAACCTGGACTTCCCAATCGCTTAATCGAATCTTTTTTTTTTGTTGATTATTTGGAATAAATATAAAATGAACTTTGCAAAAGCTAAGAATTATCTACCCGCATAGCTCTGTTGCTGTTCATATATATTGTGTACATTGTTGTATTTCTATAGAGGAATCAAAGAGTGAAAAGAATAGTTAATTTTGCTTGTTGAATTTGACGAATATGTTTATTATTAATATATATTTTAAATACAATTTATCTTTATAATTGGCTTTGAATGTATTTTCCTAAAATTGTTTGCTTTGATTTTTCAATTTTTTTTGTGCCTTTTGAATATATTTTAGCGATATAGATATAATAAATAATAAAAGTAAATACAATGAACACGACACTGTGTTTACATTTACATTGCTGGCATTGCATTTCATTGTCCGTATGGAATGAAAAAGAATTGTATTGTTGCCAGACTTACTTTTAATTGCCCAGTGACGCTATTTTAGCAAATATGCACATCCGGCTACTTCGGCGGCACAACGAGTCGCAGTGTAATTGGTTAGCTACAAGCCAATCGAAATTGTGCGCGTGTTACATATTCAGGGAAGCAAGAGTGCATTGGTAGTAGAAGTTTGCTTTTTAACTAGAATACGGTTTTCATAATTTTTTATTCAGTCAATTAGAGAAGTTAAAGCGGTGATTAATGTTATTTTAAGAGGCTCAAATAAACAATGTTTCCTTATATATTTTGCACAAAAATGTTCCAATTTTCTGCGCTACATCTCTGTTTGCTGATCGGTGCATCATTTGGAAGCGTATATTTCGAAGACAATTTTGTCGATGGTTGGTAAAGTCATTACCATATATTTTTTAATGATAACACTCATGTATTTTTTAGATTCATGGAAGGATGACTGGATCTACAGCAACCACCCAGGAAAGGAGTTCGGAAAGTTCTTTCTAAGTGCAGGCAAATTCTACAACGACGAAAAATTAGATAAAGGTAAACCGGTTTAACGAAAATAATGCTAGCGGTCTTTTTAAAGCGATAAAAGAAGTATATCTGGCAAATTTTTGAACAGACAATAACGTCAATTAAGTTAAATTAAATTCCCACAGAATATTTCCAAAGTTCGATGCAATATATTTCAAAAATTAAACGCGGCAAATTGATATTAATATTGCCAATAATAAAATAGCGATTGCTAGGGGAAACAATACCGGCCTTGCCGTAAAATATATTGTGGGCACTTCTTCCTGAGCTAACCGATACTTATGCAAATGAGATCCCGATAAGAGTGCATTAATCCCATATGAGTGTGCTTTTAATATTTAATATTATTCAATGCCACTAATGCTTACACTTCTCTGGAAACATTACGCCAAGATTTTCCTCAATGACGTAAAAGACTGCTCTCTATGGCAGACTATTTCTATAATTGGGGGAAATGAATCCCTGTTCTTTTAAGAAAATAATCTAAAGAGAGATGACCAGCAATATTTTCTTTCGGAATTTTACATTTTGCACGCATTAAAGGCCCTTTGAAAGTCAAGCCACTTAGTAATTTAAGTAAAATGCTCTATGTTTTGCAATTTTTCTTTGCAAATTGTTTAAATAACATCTCACACATTCATATCTGAAACGGTTCTTTAGATATTGTTATCGCATTGTAGCATTTACCGGCGGATTGATAATGCACTTATATTCCTAGAAAGCAAGAACATGTCCATTTTTGGGCAATTTTTCGCTAAAATGTGGTGCAAATGTCGTATAGGACCATATGAAAACTCCCAATCAATCAGCAACCGCATATTTAAAAAAACGTTTTAAAACAATGCGTTTATTTGAATGATTTCTTTCGTCTCTTTACAGGGCTTCAGACGTCTCAAGATGCCCGATTTTACGCGATATCAAAGAAATTTGGTTCATTTAGTAACCAAGACAAGCCGTTGGTTGTACAATTTTCTGTTAAACATGAACAAAACATTGATTGCGGTGGAGGATATGTGAAATTGTTTGACTGCACGTTAGATCAATCAGACATGCATGGGGAGTCTCCCTATGAAATTATGTTTGGCCCAGACATCTGTGGTCCAGGCACAAAAAAAGTACATGCAATATTTAGTTACAAAGGAAAAAATCATTTAATAAAGAAGGACATCAGATGTAAAGATGACGTCTACACGCATTTCTATACTCTGATCGTGAAACCAGACAATACGTACGAGGTGTTAATTGATAATGAGAAGGTGGAGTCGGGTAATTTGGAAGACGACTGGGACTTCTTACCACCTAAAAAAATAAAAGATCCTGCCGCCAAAAAGCCGGATAATTGGGATGATAAGGTAGGTATATGGTGAAAAATGATTAGACAAATGAATATTTAAAGCATTTCGTCCTATATTAGCCAACTATTGCTGACCCTGATGACAAAAAGCCTGAGGACTGGGATAAGCCTGAACATATTCCTGATCCGGATGCTACAAAACCGGAAGATTGGGACGATGAAATGGACGGAGAATGGGAACCTCCCATGGTCGATAATCCCGAGTTTAAAGGCGAATGGCAACCCAGGCAACTGGACAATCCTAACTACAAAGGCCCGTGGGAACATCCTGAAATTGAGAACCCCGAATATACTCCGGATGATAAGTTATATTTGCGCAAAGAAATTTGCACAATTGGGTTTGACTTGTGGCAAGTTAAATCTGGAACAATTTTCGATAATATACTTATTACGGATGACATTGAATTAGCGTCAAAAATTGCGTCAAATGTGAAAAACACCCAAACTGGAGAAAAAAGTATGAAGGAAGCGCAAGATGAAGAGCAAAGAAAGAAAGATGAAGAAGAATCGAAGAAAGGACTCGATCAAGAAGATGAAGGCAAAGATGATTTATTAGAATCGGATTCATCAAAGGAACATGATGAACTCTAAACAAAAATTTTTTGTAAACAATTTTTTTATCCGTACAATTTTAAATAAAAAGAAAAGTGAGTAGACAAATAAAAAGAAATGTCCAAATTAAAAAAAGTATTAATAAATAAAAGAAATACTTACGTAAAAGAGAAATTGTCAACAGTAACCATTCACCTTTGCAGGGAGATATCTTATGTTCTTACAAGTTGGACAGCAATGACATAGGTAGATAGGTAGGTATTAGGATTAGTTATCTTATCCAGAAATTTTTTAAGAAACTGGTGCACTTCATTTGTAAGCTTCTTCCTTTTTATTATCTTCCCTTCGTGGTTTGTAACACAGTAGCTACAGAATTCGTTATGATTTTTAAAAATTTGGTAAGCAGTAAGCCTAAAAACATTTTGCTAACCAATTGATATCGTATATTAAGAATAAGGTAGGTCGGTGGGGAAAACAAGGAAAAAGGGGTGCCTTACGAGGGCAAAAGGATTTATCCAGCGCAGCATCCCGATTTTTAGTCGTTATTTACACGTCAAAATGCGCTGCACTTCCAAACTTAGCAGCTTTGAATTTGAAAACAAGTGATGTTTTGTTTGTGAAATCTCACAAACATAATGCGTAATGCGTCAAGTGCTAGTTTGGACAAGTCTTTTAGACAAATGACGTTACTTATTAACAGGTAAAGATATGCTATTCGGTTTGCTGTCTGGATGAGATTGGGAAAAGAAGAAGTACTTACTGCAACTCGCCAGGTGGGTATAAAACGAAGGAAAAAAACTCGAAGCGTAATCAAAGTCATAGAGAAGGAAAACCATAAAAGAAACCAGTTTGTTTCGAGCACGGGTGGTAACGCGAAGTAACAGCTACATGTAAAATGCATCTAGTGAAATGATTAGGGAATTAACGGGAAAGAAAAAGGTAGTCGACAGGAGCATGATAAGATATATGATCAGAACCCATTTCGATTATGAATAGGGATCATGAGATAGGGTAAAGTCACTGGCAGTTTTGATGCTTCTCGAAATTAAAATTAAGATTTAAGCCACCGACGAAGTGAATCCTTATCATGAGAATAATAAATAGGGCTTTTTATTAGAAGATAAAATGTTATTGTAGGTCAAAGCAAAGCAGAAACAGAACAACAAATTTTTACATGCATATTTAGACATAGCACAAATGAAATTGTAGGAATGATATCCATGTGCTCTTTTAGGCACAGATTGTAGTTTCTTTGACACAAAATTCATAAGTTAAGAACTGCTCTAATTGTCTTTTCGTATTTCTTAATCTAAGGTCGACAATTTGACATCTCTTGATAACGAAAGTTTTATTAAGTGATGCGTTACCAAATTTTGTAATTAGAGTTACAATGGACGCCATACATAGTGGATGGTTTAGTGAAATACAAAATGATTTGTGGCCTGGTCAGAGTTTCTCTTTAAAAGTCAAAAAAATCCTTCATGAAGAAAAGTCTAAATTTCAAAAAATAAAGATATTGGACACGTAAGAAGTTATTAATATTTGAATACATGTACTCACATATTTAAAGTCCGCATAATCTTAATAAAGAAATTCTTATCCGCTTTAAAATGTACGTACGTGGAATTGACAATGAAGTTTACTTTAAATGATTTCTTCTGCTGTTCGAGGTTTTGACTTGTAGTTTAAAACTATTGCGCTAATTAGCACATCTTTCGAAGTATTTTGCACAACTCTTGTATAAGTTGCAAATTTCAATTAAGTTGTATTTACTTCCAATAACCGAATGTGGCAGTAATAAGAAATCTTTTTTGAAAAAGAGAGTTAATTACTTAATCATAAATGAATTAAATGTTACAAAAGAAAATAAAAGTAAGCAACAATAATTAAATAAAAGGGAATTGCTAAGTTGCAATAGTCGAAATGGTAAATTGCGCTTTTCGTTATTGTGTACATTATTATTATTATACATTTATTGACGTTAATTTGCAATGCGAAAGGTTCACCGCTGCACTATAAAATAGAGCTAAACTTTCACAAATTACTAACAACGTGCCTAAGCTTTCTCAATTCCTTAATAATCGTTAAAAGATAGAATGACTCGTATTTTATCTATACACCACGTTGATTTTTTGCTGTTGCGGAAATCCTTAGTGTTCATAAGAAGCGGTGTTTTAAAAACTCGACTTTATTTTAGTGCAAAATATTAAATAAGTTTAACTGAAAATATAACCAGATTATTTTCATTACTTTTATTCCAGCGAATCTTATGGGCGTTGCTTAATATTGGATGGAATAATTCAGTGCACCACTAGAGACGAATTCGCTTATCAAGAAATGATTGCATTCCTTCCCTTATGTTGTCATCCCAACCCAAAAAAAGTTTTGATTGTTGGCGGTGGAGATGGTGGTGTGTCAAGAGAAGTTGTGAAACATCCTCTTGTCGAAGAAGTTTACCAGGTGGAAATCGACGATCGCGTCATTGAACTATCCAAAAAATATTTACCTACGATGGCATGTGGCTTTAATGATAAGAAATTAAATCTTGTGGTTGGCGATGGCTTTGAATATATGCGAACCAATCAGCGAAAATTTGACGTTATAATAACAGACAGTTCCGATCCTATTGGTCCGGCAATAAGCTTATTTCAAGAAGATTACTACAAATTAATGAAAAACTCTTTACGTGAAGGAGGTATAATTTGCTCGCAAGGTGGGAGTTTCTGGTTGGACTATACTTACATCAAGAAGCAAATGTTAAATTGTAGTATTCATTTTCCACGAGTTGCTTATGCTGTTACTTCCGTTCCATCTTACCCTTGCGGACAAATCGGTTTTGTCATTGGGTGCTTAGATAAATCATCAGACTTTAAGGATCCGGTTACAAAGTTTAGTTCTTCAGAAATAGATGCAATGAACTTGAAATACTATAGCTCTAAGATACATTCTTCAGCATTTACCTTACCTAGATGGATTGAGAAAAACTTTTATGAAAACGAGAACCCTATATAACGTACGCAAATTTAAAAAATGTGGGCTGAAAGACTTCAATAATCAATTTTGTAGTTAATGGTATATTTAAAAATTCTAACATCAAAAGTGTTTTTGCGGAAATATAGTATTGAAAACGTTAATTAGATCACTTTTTAATGAAGCTAAAAATTTATTTGGCAACAAACGTTTGTAGAAATTTGTGGTAACCATAAATATATAATTCATAAAGTTGTTAATTAATGAACAACTAGATCGACTGGTTGATGCAAACTGTTGTCATTGATTTGCTGTTATTTCCATAAAGTCTCAGAGCGTTATTTGGCTGGCATATACTAACATTTTTTGGAGCAACGCAGCTGCTTGCGACACATTGTTAGTTGTTGATAATAAAGTTGAAATGAGGATTATGAATTCATTCAGAATTAATTGCACGTTTAATGACTAAGGAATTTGTATTTACTAAATTCAAATCCCGGTTGGTTTATCGTGTCAGAGGTGCTTAATGATGCAAAGTTTGAGCTTTATGCATGTGATACAAAAAAAACTAAAGATAAGCGAAATCGCTTTGTGGTTATTTTTTAGGAAACAACCATTTTGTTCGAAACCGAACATACATTGAACGTCCCCTACTTTTGAGAATTTTGAAATTTAATATGAAAACAATCATGGAAAAATTTTGCATACAAGAAAGCAAGCAAATGATGGAAAATCTTGGTAAATATATATTGTACCATTTTCCACAATAAATGGCTTTTATTGTTAATTCTTACTTAACTGACTACATTGTGGCACCGATAATTCCTAAGATAACCTAATCCAAATTCGGTAAATAAATTGGTTATTTTTCTTTTAATAAACGGGATACTGTACAGTAAGTTGAACTATAATCAACATTTTTCAAAGCTACTCGCTTACGTCGTTACTGTATTTTCTGCCAATCCTCATTCTAAGCTTTACACAAGCTGCATTGGCAGTCAAATTGTTTTGCAAACCAACTATCGGAGAGAAAGATGAAATCTGATAAATTGAGCCGATATTTATTACACGATTTGCTGGCAGATCCTGTCGCACTTGCTTTGCTTTTTTCATGGCAAGGTAAAGTCGCATTAGTCAAATTTGTTGAAAGATAAAGGAAAGTCTTAGCATATTTCTGTTGCGACTTTATTTCTGTATGTAAATATACGTACACAAATTTGTTATATTGGCATTTATTAACGTTTCCTGTGCATATGTAGACGGTTCTTGCGTTTCCAAGCAGCACGTCGAGACCCACCAATTGTTTGCGAGTATCTGTATCCTTTTCCTATACCTCGAGAACTTTTGCCTGCTGATGTAAGGCCTCGAAGTTCCCTATGCTTGTGCACGTGTCTGCAAATCCAATTTATTTTTGGATCTCGACGTATAGCACTATGGTGGGTGTCAACCAAGATAACTTCGAAGTATTTATATGAAGCATCCTGTGCTACCCAATAAGAGTTGAGTACGCGCAAACCTCCCAGTCGGCGCCCCACGCGTTCCTAGAACATAAAAAAGGAGTTTAATACACCTCATTGGATGTAATATATTTATGCATAATGCTTCTTTCAGACATCTAAGGAAGGATATTGGTCAACATATACATCTTTGCTAATAGGTTTTAACATCAAGTTTTCAATATTCTCAATTTGCTACATATATGTGTACATACCTCCGCGATTGACTGTAGCCCTCTATATGGTTTTAATTTATTAACACCATGGCTTTTCGGTTTACCATAAGTACATCCTTTGGGAACGGGACGTTTACGACCTCCTCGGCGCACTCTAATTCTATATATAATAAAACCTTGTTTAGCTTTGTATCCTAGACGACGGGCTTTATCCGGGCGTGTAGGTCGTGGAGACCGATGTAATTTTGTGAGCTGCCGGTACTGCCAAACACGTATTCGAAGCAAATATCGCATAGCATCGCTCTGCTTTTTCCTATACAATTCTTGCATATAGCGATAGGCACCCATATTTATCGAATGACAGCAATAGACCTAGCAACAAATTTCAATATGTTATTCACATTTTTTTTATAAATAACGTGTCACATCATAAGTCTATGCGTTTTGTTGAGAGCCAACGGGCGACATAAGTTGAATCTTCTAAAAATACATGACAAATATAATTATGTCACGAAAGCATACGAGCTCTTAAGGTAATAAAAATTAATTCAGCACTTCCTAAACAACACCTTATCCTTACGGACGTATATCAGAATGGTGCAAGGCCAGTATTTTCATCATAATTTTCCTTCCTTTCCTATACACAAAATATATGAACTGCGCACAGAAGTACGTCTACCTACCACGAAAGTCTGCTACAGAAAGAAAGGGATATTGTGAAGTTAGTTGCGAGAATGGTTTGACATAAGGGAGGTGTTGCCACATAGCTACTTAGTATCGTAAAAATTTTTATATAAGGGTCTTTTAGTCAAATGAATATCGTAGAAGAACCTGTAAAATTACCATGAAAAATGAAGATTTATGATGGACATTGCTTATTGCTTTTGAATTGTAAACATTAGCTTTCGTTGGCATGGTTGCACATGCGTCTCTTATAAATTTGATTTGTGACTATTAAAGTTCTCAGTGATGGTAGATAATAAAGCTGACTGTCTTGATAAAATCGAGTACATATATTACACTAACTGAAAATGTTACGAACGAAAGGAAAGATTTAGCATATCTTAACAATACATTAGTGGATGTAAACGGTGTTAGTGTGGTTATGACAGGTTTGTGGTATCTGTGTGGTTATCTAATATCCTCCACAAACCTCTCATAACCACACTAATACCTTCCACGTTTACGTACATGCACATACAGGCATTTATACGTCAACATTTCAATATACCACTGGAATTCGTGCTGAATGAAAAAATGCTAAGATTAACCCGTACATTTATTATTATACGTTGTACATTTAAATCGATTTATTGCAAATTGATAAGGTGGAAAGTGATAATAAAGCGAACAAGACAAGTTGTAAATTGAAAAGAATTTTCTAAATCGTTAATAGATTATATTATTTATTTATATTATTTTAATTATAT